TCATTTTTCTCATACAAATAAACAAACCAGAACCAGAACAAAAAGCATTATTGAAGTAATATACTAGGATTAACAAAATTGAAACCACTTATTGGTACCTATAACAATAGGACATACCAGGATTGTATAGACCTACCAAAAGCAAACGTTAGCATCACTACAGAAATCGAAGCAAGCCACTATAAACTAAAACACATTCTTACGAGATTGAGTATATATACAGATGCAAACTATAGATTCTGCCACACATGTGCTGTTAGAATGCCCTGCGCTTATGCACATACAGAATAGACCCCTGGGAATGTACACCCTTACGAAAGAGCCAATAAAACTCTATAAAGTAGACTTTTTATGTATTACTTTTTATCGATACAACAAGGCTTAGAGACTTATTCAAAATCCAGAAGGGGGGACAATAGACCGGACGGCTTATTGCGTTATTAAATAATTAACAAATAACATTAACATTAACAAATAATTTTTATTATAAATTTGAATTTGTGTTTTTAATCATCATCATCAGAAGTCTTATTCAAGAAATTTTTAGAATTCTAAAATAGTCAATAATCACACATTCATTTTCAAACTGTTGTAACTAAGTCCACTTGAGATTTTCATACAGTATTATTACCAATGATATTTTAAAATCACAAACACTTCCAACGTATGAATAACTCAATACAATCATTAAAGCTATATATTTAATTAATAGGCATTAAGAAATCATTATCTCTTCGGACATTCCTTAGTTCTAGAAAAAATTACTTGTCAGAGAAATACGACAATAATGACAAACAAAATTTCTTAAATGCATATGGATTCCTGGACACTCGTCGCTTACGTTAACCATCTTAGAATTCAAGCAGCACATTTATTTCTGTTCCCTTAACTTTTTACTCTAATCTAATCTAATAGACCTAATAAAACTCATTATAAATTATGATCTTCTATATTTTATATACTATAATATTTCCAACTGTCATTTTCTAATATTTTAACAACAAATGCCACATTAGTCCCTCGCATAAAATGTTTGTAAATCTAATTAAATCAAGATACTAAAACCCATACTAAAATTTCACACCAAACTTGAAAAAAAAAACTTATAACCATAGGCAAATTTTATAATCAGTCATATAATATCTCTTATCTACTTTCTAAAGAGTATTGTTCCCACCTCAATTAATTTAGAACGAATAAAGCCGGTACCTTCACTATCTCTACAAAACTGGCACTGAAAAATTCAAATACAAGCAGTTTTAACACATCTGAGTTCTATATATATAAACTACTTTAACTGACATATATATCTCAACTAAATGTTGTATAAAACATATTTCTCCACATATTTCCCCAACAAAAAATAATTATTACATATAATTACACTATTTTTTATATTAAATTTTAGACTGAAATTTATCTAGTATGACCCTAACAGATTTTTGGATATCTAGAATATAAATAAATAAATATTAAAGATATCGAGTATAGCGCTTCAGACTCTAACTCGCGTTTGATCAAGCAAAGTAGAACATATATCACTTTACCTAATAATATAATAATATTATAACAATTAATATTTTAATTTCAGTATTAACTGAGTTGAATGCCATTTCTTGAAATAGGGAATTAGCTCCTGCAGTTATAACATTTAGTTAGGAAACATTCTATATATGAAAACCATTTTTAATAGATTTTATTTTTAAAGGGAAATAAAACGTTGAAATAGATGTGACAGGTTCAAATTAAACACAATCTGACAACCCGCTTTTCAAACAACTTAAATCGTATATCTGTAATAAGTCTGTTAGTGTTAGTTTTCAAGTGTTCATAATGTCTATGGTTTAAGAAATTTTTTATATTCACAGAGAGAATAATCAAGAAGAATGAGATAATGAAATATTTTTTGCAATAAACATATGTAAATATCTCAAAACATTTTCTTGACTATAGCTTACGCCCAATTCTTAAGCTATAGCGTAATCCATTAATTTTATGTTTAATCTGGTTTTGTACTTCAATTGATGTTTGTTTTATAACTTTGTTTTTATGAAAAAAATCGTTTCTATTGTTTTTATAATTAAATAATATGAATAAATAAATAAAACAAAATGATTAAATAAAATAAATATATAAAATGAATAAATAAATAAAATGAATGAATAAATAAAATAAATAAATATATAAAATGAATAAATAAATATATAAAACGAATAAATAAATAAAACAAACAAATAAATAAAATGAATAAAAAAATAAAATGAATAAATAAATAAGTAAAATAAATTAATAAATAAAATGAATAAATAAATAAGAAAATAAGGCCTTATAAAAACAAAATTTTTCTACAAAATTTATATTATTATATATTATAATATATATTATATAATGTTATATATATTGAATATTATGATATATATTTTATAATATTATATATATTTAATATTATAATATATATTATATAATATTATATATGTCATATATTATTATATATTATATAAACTATTGATATTGCAGATAAATGAGATCGTCTTTATATACTATTGTGAAATAAAAAATTGACTATAACAATTTCCATATAAGGCATTAAAATAAAAGATATTTCATGGACTAATGGATATGTATATATGATACATGGACTTTAAATATTTCTTTTCAATTATTTTCGAGATATCCTGGAATTATTTCTAGATTCCCTCATATATTGTTGCTTTTGAGAGATATAGAATTTGGTACATTGAAAAATAAGTTTTTAATTCCTTGACATATTTTTAGAAGATTTAAAATATTTTTTAGAAGATCTAGAATAATTTTCAGGAATTTTGTTGAACACTTTTGATACATTATTGCTATTTCAAGAAGGTTTATATGAACTTTATAACTCTTTTGAATTGTTTCCCTACAATAACACACTACCTGCCTACCTCTTTATTAATATTGGAAATTACGATTGTATATCGAAATAGGTTTTTGCCTTTTTTTGGATTAATAAATAACTTCCTGTATTTTTAATTAGGCACCAACATTTTGTACCCTGTATAAAAAAAAACCTATTTTTCCTAAGAAAACATTTGTAGTGTATTTATATATACAATGGCAGCGGCGCGAGACATCACGGATAATTATATGTACTCGGGCAAAAATAACTAATTCTAATCATAAATAATTATATCTGATTATATATGGCATTATATATAAAATGATTTAATCATATATAAACAATAATATATAATTATTACATGAAAAAACAACACAAAAACGCAAGTGGAATCTTATTTCAATATTTAGTATTACAAAGTATTTGTTCTTGAGATGGATATCCATTTTTATAGATTTCTGATAAATACTATAAATTGCTTAGAAACTTAAACAATTTTATTACTTTTCGTTCTAATATGACACTGTAAAATACAAAAAAAAAAATTTAGTACAAAGTATTACCCAATAAGTGATTTTTAGTTCAGCTTAAGATATAATATTAGACATTCCATAACATTACCGTCTGTCCAATTATGTGAACATTAATTTTATTAATAATAATTTCATAAGTAATAATGTATTTATACATGGCTTGTACATATTATAATGCAGCCCATGTAATGTTTTCGTTTCAGCTCTGGAAAAAAAAGACCTCATTGTTGGAGTCGGTTTATGGCATATCCAACATCGCCACTATATAGTATGTATATAAGAATATTTTTGCTTTTAAAATAACAAAAATTAGCTGAACCCTGCTTTTTGATTAATTGATTGATTGTTTCGATGCTTCTGTCTTACTTCCATTTAATAAAAATAAATTAATAATAATTTTTTCGTATAAAATGAAACCCTACAAAAACTTGACCAATCATTTTTTGTGTATAAAATATGAAATGCTGATAAATCAAGACCTTGTTTTCATTCGTTATATAAATAAAAAAATTGCTGAATTTGAGCAAACCAAGTATTTGTTGAAAAACTGAAATACATACTTTCAAAATATGTATCATATATACAATATGTATTCTATATACAAATAAAATAATTATGCGATATAAGCAAAACCAAAACATATTAATAGATTCAGTTTTCTTTAGTGTAATATATGACTTTATGAATCGGGTGAAAATTTCAAACCCATACTTTAAGACGTAAGACTTACGGATGATATAATAATTATCTCTTTAACAAAGTTAGTTAGAATTCCAATTTAGACGGTTTATATTACAGTATTATCTTTTTGAATATAATTTATTAACAAATGTTAATATAATATATAAAAGTAATTGATTACTTCAAAAAATTCAAATAGTGAATGATAGTCATAGTGAATGCGTCATGTTCCTATATAACTCATAAGTGTATTTTTTGCAGACAGAATAATATAGAGATTCTATATAAATTATAAGGGTTTCAGGTTACACTGATTACTTCAGAAACTGTAGAATTGATAATCTAGACAGATGACACGCCACTATTCTTACGTTTAAAGCGATTAAAACATAGATAGGAATTCCCGTCTTGACGAACAAAATTTATTACAAAAGCTGAAAATAACTAGTAGACTAACTAAAAATATACGACGAACAAGCAAATACTTTTCTAAATTTAACAAAATCTAGTATTAATAATTTGTCATTGAACATTTATTATGTGACTGTCTCGTCTCACCCTTTTCAAAGAAGAGCATGTTCGACTTAATAAAACTTTTAAGGTTCTTTATAAATATTAGATGATGATTCATTATTACAGATGATATGGGAGGTTAGGTAGGATAAACATCACTAATGATAGATATTTGATAATATCCAGAATATATATAGCTCAATTTTACTTATAAAGAATATTTTTTTTAGAATTATACAGGTCAAATATATTTAAAAAAAATGGTTAAACTTGATATGAAAGAATTCTGTTAAAAATCGCAATGAAAAAATTTAATTCTGATTTCCAGATTGATTTTTCTCTTTTCTATATAATAATAATATATTAAGTTATAATAAAAAATAAATTATGCTTACCTTTTAGCATGATCCCTACGCAATTTGCTCTCTTTACGTGGTTGTTGTATTTGTGTTTCGGAATTTTGACCAAAACTGTTTCGGGTCTCTCGAACCATTTTGTTTTAAAAACTTCATTGAGGCATTGATTTAAATGGGCGCGCTCCACCCATTAAATCCGGGAACAAAAATATTTTAATAACCTTTTCGATGAAAACATACAAATTTTTATTATATTAAATATGTATTTGATAAAATTAAGGATGACTCTCAGCATATTTACATACATACATATTTATGTAATTTTCACTAAATATTCGTTGTCAAATTAATAAGTACTAAAAATTATAAAGAAATCAGATTATTATCGATTAGAATACTTTCGATAGTAGATAGTTGGACAGGCGGAGTATATTTTCTTTGTGTTTATTTGATTGTTTAAAATTTCGAAGAGGAGGAAATCTGAAATTTAGCTATAGTCATGTATTAATGAACACGCTTTCCAATAATTCTAAACTATAATAATAAACCTATAAGTTCAGGTTCTCAATATGGAACGAATACGAATAGATTTCTAATTTAAAATATAAAATTTAAAAAATTTATTGAATAAAGTTTAATAATATAATAAAATAAAATAAAATTTAATAATATAACTCATTTAATATTCTTTTTTAAATGGTTTTACGAAGCTTTTTTATGGAAAAGGAAGGTAAAAATCTATAGAATTTAGAAATCCCTATAAATTCTGTATTTAGCTTGTTGCTGTCGTATAATAAATTTAAATTATTATTGGTTGTTTTTAAATTATTTTAAATAAAAAAAAGGTAAAATATAGAAATCTTTTAATTCTTCTAATTTTTTTATTTTACAATTTTGTAAATTGTCTTTAGTTCTATTATTTTAAAATTTTATTAAAGCGATTAATATATGTGTAGTATGTTATTTAAATATACATACATACATATATTATAGATAGTATAAAATACGCTGTGAGTCATCAATACACATTTATACATATTTATCATTAAATTCATATTTCTTTATATGTACTGTACTATATGTTATGGATTGCACTTAATTTTTTTTATAAATTTTCTTAATTACTCTCGCATCTACTAATAGTCAACGCGTACCCGTATTAATAATAAATTCTTTATTTATATTTAATACCATATGTAAGTAATTTGCCAACACATATACTTATACTTTATAATGGAATAATATGCATACATTGATATATGAAAATAACATGATCAAAACAATGCTTACATAAAATGTAAAACAAATTTTTGTTTTCTTCAGTGGAGACTTTGTTGTGTGAAAAACAAAAACACAAAAAAATAAGAAAAATACAAAAACGAAGAAGAAAAAAAGAGTAGAGCAAAGCAAAGTAAAATTAAAAACCAGGCACACCAGTATAAAGTAAAACAGACAGATAGTTCTCAGGCCCCACATAATAAGCATACATAGAGTAGAGTTTATTCTCGAATTTCGCATTAGTATAGGAAACTAACAGATACTAACACAACACTATATTGTGCTTTAATATATGGCAGGCAACTAAAGCAGTAACAACACTGCATGATTGCATGAAATTTGACAACGTAGCATTTTGTACTAAGGTTTCTCACTGAGATATAAATTTTTTCACTTATATTTTATGATATTATTCGCAAACTGACTATGAGTGGGAATGAGAAAGCAATATTTGCAGTGTGAACTACATTCAGTATGTATACACAGTATCTGTGATTATACATTTATCGTCGTATATTTAGTTGGTACTCGAATATACTTTACGTCACCCGACACAAATATTAACTTTTCAATATATATACACATATCTATATATATTTATGTATGCATATAATCATGCATATATTATAAACGCCTGTGTTTTATTTTATAATGTTGTTTTCTTGCATAGTCAACCATTAACTTAAAAAAGACAAAAGCGAAGTTTCGTATATCCATCCAGTTAATGAAGTGTATGAAGCACTATGCATGTTCAGCTCGTTCGTTTCTGTTTTTTTACGTGTTTATTTTCTCTGCTATTCTCTTTCTACTCAAAATATATAAAGAACAGGAAATTTGGTAATGCCAAGTAACTTTATGTTGATTTCATTTGTTATTCAAAAAAAAAAAAAATAAAAATAAAAAAACGACACATCTGTAGGGGATATTTTTCATATAACATACAAATTAGAAAACATAAAGCATAATTCAATTTATTTGATTGATGATGCATTGCAGACTTTTTTCATATTACTGCTTTTAACACTACTTATTTACACTTTTTTTTTTAGATTTGCATTGATTTTAATTGACTGGCCAGTACTCGGACTGCACTATTTCAGATTAATTGGATTTGCTTTCTAGCTGTACTTCTTGTATTTTTTAATTATTGGGTTGTTTTAAATTTTAACACTTTTTATTATTTACTTTGTAAAATAAGTATACATTTTTTAATTTTTTTTTTTTTGCAAGTAGAACATTTTTTCCAACTATCTTTTAACATTTTGCATAAAGAAACGTGGAATTTAGAATTTAGAGCAAATTATCAAACACAAAAATATATTTAAGCTGGGCATCTATTGAACACAAAACACGCACACACACACACGACGACGTTTTTTTTACTAAAAAATATTTATATATATACATATACATATATGTATGTATGCATGTTTTATTCTACATACATTCATTTATTTACATAACTGGCCTTTTCAGTGTATTTTGTGCTTACGTTGACAAAACTGGATTTCTTTTTAGAACTATAAAATGTGTAGATGTTTTGCGTACACGGCGAAGAGTAGAGTGTAGAGGGCACAATTCGTTATTGATTTCTTTCTTCGGTATTAGATTTTTGATGATGAGAGCAATGCTACTACTATATACAATAAATTATTTCTTATTATTATTATTATTATTATAATGCTAATGTAATAACCGTGTTCTATTGTTACCGATGATGATATTTTACTTATTTCTGGTTTTATAAAATTTGCTATATAAACTGCGCAATCGCAATCGCAATTAAATAACAAAACAAATAACAGATATGTACAATGTTATACACATACTCAATTATATGTATGCTGCCGCTGCTGCTTCTGCTGCTGTTGTTGCTGCTGCAGAGCAGATATATATATATATATGTATGCATGTGTATCCGCGTATGTTCACATATTTATGCCAATTGTATGAATTGTTGTTTTTGTATGTTTATTTTCAAGTTGTTTTCAACTCTTTTTCACAATATAATTTCACATAAATGCATTTCATTTCCTCTCTTTTTCTTTTACACAGCGTAACCGTTCGTTCGTTCGTTTGTTTGTTCGTTCGTTCGTTTTGTAGTTTCTGCAAACATTAATAAAGAAACACTTTTTACGTGACAAAAATACAAGAATATGTACAAACATATGCATGTATACATATATAGACATATATATATCTATGTGTGTTTATGTATGAGGAATTGTACACATAATAGTTGTTTCAGGAATGCGGCGGGAATTAGTCGCAGTACATTTAGTATTTTATTTACATTTGTTTGTTTGTGTGTGCATAATTTTAAAAGGAAGCAGCAGAGTCGTTTTTTTTTCTTTTTTTTGTAATATTAACAATTTAAATTGTAATAAAGATAGTTGTTTTATATTAAAGAAAAATATAAATTTCTTCACCTGTTTTAGTTTTAATTATATTTCATAAGAATACTATATTTAATAGCGTTTAGTTCATTTATTTCATTGCTTATTCTTTTAGTGTCTAAGCAACCATAAAAAATGCGGAGCAGCAACGTTTACGTTTTATTATATAATTTTTATTCCCCCTGCATTAATCATTTCCTTTTCTTGCTTTTGTTTAGTGATGTTTTTCGTTTCTTGGGGTGCGGTAGGTAGTAGTTGAATTTGGTATTAAGATAACATTAATCAGTTGTTTTTATACGTTATATACATATTTCTTTAACATCTCTGACTGAAAACTTTATACAAGCGCATTTTTTTATTAACGTATATTCATGGGTTTGTTCGTTTGTTCGTTCGTATTTCGTTGTTGCTACACGTAAACCGCACTTGGTTTTCACCATTCGATAAGGCAACAACGGGCGGATTATTATTGTATTCCTCTCACAGTAACTGAATTTCTTTGCTCTGCAATTTTTTTAACTAGTGATTATTGTGCGCTCCGTTTTATTTTAATTCACTTTTTGTTGCAAAAATTGTGTTTGCAATTTTTTTTTTTTATTATAAATTTAAAGAAATTTTTATTAATTGAAAAAAATTTATTTGATTAATTTTTTATCTTAAATGTGAATACAATTTCAGCGACTTAAGACATTTTGTTATCACATTTAGATATACAATTAATTTTGTATATATAACTTTGATTTTTAAAGAAAAAAAAATTGTTTTTTTTCGTTTGGTATTAATTAATTTACCTTATAGATAGATAAATAAATTCGTAATTCGTATACACTTTAGTATACTACATCTGCGAATAAACACTACGTTATGTCACTTATTGTGATATTTTTACCGTCATTGTTAACGCCACCGCCGAAAACATAAAATATGGAAACGTTGGAGCCGACGTTCGTATGACGCGTCAAAACAAGAACTGCGAAAAACGGGATGTATAAGCACACGTAGATAAGAGACGAAATGAATGTTTCTGAATCCGCGGATTACGTATTTAGGAACACTTTTCATATACTATGTATATGAATTTCGCAAAAACCGCACTTTCTATCAATTATTATTTTTTTTTTTTTGTTAGCTAACATAAATATTTTATTTATTATTTTTTTCATTTTAATTTTTATACAAACTGTATATTTATGCGTAATTATTTATTACACATAATAATACATGTATGTATATCATATATACATATATATTTATATAAATATATATATATGTAATGTTGGCATTTTTATTATGCTACACATTTTGCTGGCTTTATTTTCACCAATTTGTACTTGAGTCTTTATTTTGCCCTCATAATATTCTCTTCGCTCTCATTGTCGTTCATTCGTTTGTAGTTTTGTAGATGGCGGAATTTATTGATTTTTTGGAGGCACACACAGATGTTTGTTTGTAGCGTTTCAACGTTTTAACGTTTTTCTTTTTGTTTTTACGAATACTGCATATACACACATATACACACACACGCAAGCCAACAAAACAGAAAAAAAATGTTTTGGAAGTTTTGCTGGTGCTGCTGCTAATGATATTTAATTGTTGTTGTTTTCTTTCTCATTCCCACTCGTTATATATGTATGTAGAAACCAACTAAGGAAAAGATGATGATGGCAAAGTAGTTTTTGTTGGACTATAATAGAAATATCTCCATTATAACAATGTATGCAACTATGTGTATCAAAAAAATACACACATACACAAAGTTTAATATGTGTAAATGAAGAAATATGGGAGACTTTAATACTGGTTGTGTCGAAGTAAAAAAATAAAAATACAAAAAAAAAATCTGTTTATTGTTTTATCCATATTCTTGGAAAACGAAAATATATAAGTTTTAGGTAACCGAAAAAAACAATTTTTTATAAAAATTTCTTTTTTTTTTTAATATTATAATACTGATGTTTGTGAGATATGTTTTAACTTATCAACTAAAAAAACAAAACAAAAAAAATACATACAAATATTTATATGGCAAATTACACATATATATTATAAGTATATTTAAATAAACGGATTATAATTATATACATTATATTTACTACATACGACGTGCTTAACATATAGACAACATATATGAAATGGGAATTATTATTTTTATGTATAATTTTATTAGAATTTATTTTTGTTCAATTACTTCAAGTGAGAAGCTGAAAATAAATTATAGTAATCGATATTAATTTTCTGAAAAAATAATATAGTATAATATATTTAGTAAAATCTGTTTAAAAATGAAATTCTAACTACAAATCGTCACGTCAGTTCTTTCACGTCAATTTCGTTGTTGTAATATATTTCTCTTTTTCTAAATAAAAACTATTGTTTCCACATTCACCCAAAAAGCAAAAAAAAAAGAACTTTATCACTTCAAAAAGGTTTACACTTTTGTAGAGATGCGAGCTCAATTACACAAAAACTGTTCAAGATTATATCTTTAACAAATGTTATTTTAATTCCATCCACAAAAATTATGGAAGAAATTAAGTAAAATTAAGTTATTTTCAAACTTAACTTGATTTAGTTGAATATATATGTTATTACGTCTAAATTAAAATGCAAAAGTACAAGGTTTTCAAATACAATAAATACGGACAGAATTTAGTTTAAGAACAGATTGTATCAGTAGTTGCAGTCGTGCATATAGTTTTTTTTCTTTTTTTAAGCTAATGAGTCATTGCTAATGATGTACTTAAAAGTACAAAAACAGTTGAAAAAAGTAATTTTTCACTTTTAAAAAATTCTAATCTCATGATAAATACAATATGAGTTATTCATGTCTGGAAAAAAGACAGCTTTTAAAGTGATTTCAAATGACGGACTACTAAACCAAGAAGAATTTATTTAATTATAAAAATATTACTTCATTACTATATTGTGTGTTATATATAACTATTTCACAATTACCCGACAGGTATCAGTCCTATCATAAAGGAATAAATTAAGAAAAGTTATATATATTAAAAACTGTGACATTTATTATAGCACAATAAATGCTAATAATTTTTTATTTAATCTTAAGAAAAATCTGTCCACAAAAAACGGTTTTAAATCACAAGTAATCAGCGATGCTCTTACGATATTTATATCTCTGACTTTGCCTATACTACGTGTACAGACAATACGAGTAGAAAAATGTATGTGCAATGACACATAATGTTAATATTTATAATCTACAATCAATATTATTCTTTGGTTTGTTTTTATAATAAAATTATAATCTTAATTGTACATCTATATAGTTAGTTAAAAAGGATAATGGTTGAAACAAGTTCATAATAACTATTTATGTACACTTTGATTAATTGATTTAATAATCGATTAATTATTAATCGATTAATTGTGAATTTTGATTAATTGATGATGAATCAATCACTTGAATGATTCAATTTTAGAGTATAATTATCAACATCATTATCGACACTACGCCTGGTAATCTCTTTCAATAAATCTCCACAGCGATCTCAATTATAATTGGCTTAAACTATTATATATACAAGGAATCAGAGCGAAAAGCAATTGAATAGTTGAGGATTGGATGAAGATAACAGGTGCTGAAAGCAGTGAACATAATACATTACAGGATATAGTAAGCATGGGTTATATTTAGATGTATATTGCAGAGAGCAGAGTTCACTGTGAGTTTTAGTTAAGATATATATTTGTAGATATTTCTAATTATATGACAAAAAGCTATAATTACATGATAGATAGCTATAATTAAGTTAAAATATATTTGAATTTTAAAAACTGATCAAAACATACAAATTGCTAGTTTTTCCATATTTCTTCAACTTTTGATAAAATTTTTTTTGTCTACCATTGTTGATTAATACCTTCTCTAGTTCAATAATTATTGATTTAAGAGATCTATTTTATATTAACAATAATTATTTTTTTTGTATTCTATATTAACAGGTTTTTTTTTAATTCTTTATTGTGACAAATTCAGTTATTGTAAGTAAATATATTTTTAAAAGTCGACTTTTATGACTATTCTTATGTCACTTAGAGAACTTCGAAGTAGCCAAAATAGATTTTAATACAAGCTGTTTGCAATATCTTCCTTTTTTTTTTGTAATATTTTAGTTCTCAAATTTTTACTCCTTACTGAAGAAAAGAGGAAACAATAATCAAAGATTTTAGCAATTTTTTTCTAGCAAGCGACCTTATTTCGTTTTAGACTATGTAGTGCTAATATGAGTCAATATTTTGATAATTTCTCCTCAGGAAACAAAATCTTATATTATCTTAAACTAGAAATGTAAAATATTTAAAGAAAAAAAAGTAAAAATAACAGTTATAAGTGTTCTGGACCCTAGAAGAGCGGATCATAATATCTACTATGACCTATGGTCTAAAATTATTTGTGATAAAAGGTTTTCTTTTTTAAAGACAATTAAAGTAACAATAGACTCTAACTCTAGAGTCTAGATTAGATAATTGAATAAAACTATATACTCATAAATGTATTAATTACGTAAAATTTGAAAAAATATTTAAAAAATTAAAAACACCATTTTTACACCAATTGCTTAAAATAATAGAACTATACGCCAAGCTAAGCTGATATAATATAATATATAAAATGGTTAATAATTGAAAAAAGACGACTGATAATGGTATAGTAATTAATTATAAATGTATTTATTCATCATAATTAACATTGTAGTAATAATTGAGAATCACATTATTAGAATACTACATGATTAGTTCTAGAATCGGCTGAACCTATGTCCTCAAGCTACCCGGCTACTCAATCAATCAAGTAACGCTCACCACTCCCAACAAATATAGTGGCTTACAACAATAACCACATAATATATTTAGTATTCTCTACAATATATTTATAGGTTTCTGAAGCCCGAATATAAGTTATTATATGCATAAATATAAAATAAATAACAACGAATTAAAAAAAAAAATAAAAATCAAATTCTTATTTTAAAAGATCGAAAAAGCCCTTTAACACATGGCGAGGGCCCAAATCCCATCGAATAATAAGCACCACTTTTCAATTTTTCGTAATAAACTACACAAGAGATATCAAGGTTTTGAACAGTAATTTTTATTTCTATCATATAATTTTTTTTTGCTAAAAATTAAATTTGAACTAAACTAAGTTGAATTCCACTGCTATCTACAGATTATCGGACCCATAGATAAGACTGACAAGTATCATTAATGTTGCAATCGAATGACGAATACTTTTTACCGGTATAACAATAATAACAATATGTATAAATTAAATATTATCAACAGTAATCACCACAAAAATAGCTGGGTCTATATCCCGCAGTTACTCCGACAAGCAAATGCCGTTCTCCACACCAAAAAAATGGAACTACGCTGGCAGATCCTGGCGATTTACAACAACAAAAACAAAGCAGGCTATGCAAAAATCTGGATGTTTAAGGAAACTCTTTTTTTTTTTTGTTTGGAAGCTTGTCTAAAATTTTCATTGGACCTATTAATATTTTGCAGAGATTTGTTACTACAAAAATATTATTATTATTACTTTATTAAAATACGCTTTACTAACACACACAAACAATAACACATCTTAAGTGATGTATCTCTTCTTTCTAATTACTTTTAAGGACTCGTTATCTCTACGTGACCTTACCTAACCAGTTTTACTTATCTATCTACCTGTCAAAGTTGCATATCTCTGGTGAACATGATTAGATTATAAAATAAACAAACAAAGTTATTGCGTTAACTTAACATATTACTGCAAAATTAAACTATAAGACCTACAAGATTTTGATATATAAAAGCCTATTAATTATATTTTTCTGGTTATTTATTAGGTAAATACAATATATAAATATAGAATTAAACTATAACGCCTAGAGAGCTTTAATATATCTATTATATATATTAGGTGTCTATAAAGTGCCTATAATTAACACTTTTCGGTTATTTATTCCATAGTAGTCCAAAAAAAATCTTTTCATTGACTTTAAAACTACAATTATAAACATTTTGTTTATTCTAACTAGGCTTTCAAGTCGTAAATCGGTTAAAAAAAATTGTACATTAAATTTTTTGTTAGATATAGTTAACCTTAACTTCTTTGAAGATCTTTTTTTTTTGTTTTTTTAAACAACTCAGGTTCGAGGTAAATATTGTACGTTTACTGTACTAGAAGCGTAGACGAGCAGAAAAAAGAAGAAGCACGTACAAATTTACTTGATGTTTTATGAACATTTTCGAGATTTTTTTACGCGAAACTTGGTATTATGCAGCAGACACCAAAGTATCTTGTTTTTTTCTTAATTTTTTGTTGAGAAACTAAAATTTTAAAAATTGACTTTAGGCTTGTCGCAAGACACGAGCGGGACTAATTTTTAGCATCATCATCTGCATATGTGGTGCACAAAACTGAATGATTGACTGCGTCGACGAACAAAGAAAAAACTGACTGGATGGTTTGTGCTGTGCTGCATATACTTCATAACTTCAGACTAACTTCTCGGTAGTGAAGACGACTTCCCAGGAAATATTATTATTTTGGTACCTGACATGTGAAGAGACCAAGTAATAAAAGTAGAAGAAGAAGAAGAAGAAAAAAAAAAAACAAACATCGTCAGCAAAGCAAAAAATGTGTATATAAAGCATATAATAGAGAGTTTGGAAATGAGCTTTGCTTTATATATATAATATTTTTATGTATAGAAAAAGTAAACATACTACGAAATTAGTATCGGTACTGGTATGGATGAAATTTTTTAATTTTTTAATTTATGCTTAGAACCCTTTTGATGTAGACTTCGCCTGCGACTTCGACTTCTACTTCTACTTCCTCAACTACGCCAACAGCAAAACATTAACATTAACAGAGCAGAAAGAATTGAACGAAATATGCAATCCACATGTCTTTCATACACAGAACCGGTATGCCTACAAACAGCATGGATGGTAAGTAAGCAACAATTAAAATGCCACATTTGTTGTACAATATACAAAGAAAGAGTACTCTGTCGGTATCAATGTATGTATATATATATTGTTATTTAGTAGAACACACAAAAACATATGTTCAATACGTTTTATAAGGTTTCTTCGAGAAAAAACAAATATATATCGAATTCATATAAAATTTTTGCAAACTCTTTTATATAATTTATAATGTTTATACAACAAACATTAGTACGTAGAACTAGCCACACCTATATTGAGAAGAATAGAGCAGCGACATTAGGGTAAATATAAATTATTGTATTTAATACATACAATAACGCACCACTAAAAACAACAATTTAATGCCATTGCAACAATCATTAATAATAATAGTTTTTTTTTACAATAAATCAATAACCTTTATCTTGAAATCCAACCAACTCAGTACATACTACTAATGCTACTTTTTTTTCATTTTTTTGTTTTTCTTGTAAATGATTTACTACTTTTCTGCACTGTCACGAAATAGTCAAACGCCACTGTTCACTGTGCAGTTCAGTTCATGAGAACTAAACACTAAAAACTAAAAATAAAGCGTATTTAGCTGCTGTAAGGAGGAATTTTGTTGAAGCGTTGGCTTTTAACTATTCAACTATTCTTCGTTTTTCTTAACTAAACTAAACTAAACTAAGTAAGCAAGGTTTAAGTGCTGTCGTCGGTTTTGTTGTTTAAATAAATGCGTCGTCTTAAATACACTAAATTGTATTGAAATTAAGTTGACAATAATGATGTTTACACTATGTTTTTGTTGTCTAAAATACTTTTTTGTTTTTTGATGTTTTTTTAATACTTACAGAAAAATTTAACCATTACTAATCCAATAACGGACGACTTCGAGTAATCACACAATTTTAACTCCAAGTGTGCAAGGGCTCAAGTTATTTTTTTTTTTTGTAAGATAACAATTATACTTTTGTTTTTTTTTCTCCTTTTTATTCTTTTTTACTTTTTTGTATATTTGTATTCAATATTTTGTTTAATATGAATTAATTTTACTATCTAAATCTTCATATTTAGATACATACACGTATAAATATATATATGCATATATATATTTATATACACAAAACATACATAAATATATATTTTGATAGATATGTATGTATAAATTGATAGATATAGAGAAATATGGTATAAATTAATTAATTTTTTGCCACTAACTTCACTCACTATTCACTAAACACTTCGTATATTTTCTTTTTGAAACGATTTAACACATTTTATCATATTTGCATATAACAGAACATTTCAATATTTAGTAATTTTTCTTTTATTTGGCATTTGATGATTTTTTATTTTGCTTGGATTGTTGATTTGATTTGATTTCTTTCACATTTTTTTTTTGTAAATTTTCTCATATACACAATTTTGTACATTAACATATATTTGCATTAATTTTTTCATAATTTGCCACGAGAAATTAGTAACTTTTTAAGTAACATATATGTTTCTTTTTCCATATAATAATTATTTTTTCTTATCATAATATTTTGCACGAAGGGAACGCATACCACTCCGTGAACTACCCACGTCCTTCACGATTTATACAACAACTAACAAAAACTCTATTAAAAATCTTGTGCTATGTGGAGAGTATTGGTGCAAATTTCATATTCAAGAGTGTAGAGAGAGAATTTTTCAGGTACAAGATACACAAAAAAGGTTCAAATATTGAATAAAAGGTGCAATAAATACACATGGTGTCAGTACCATGTGTTGCATTTTCAATGTTACCAAAACATAAAAAAAATATTTTAATTTATTTAATTTTATATATTAATACATAAATTTATATATAAATATATAATATATTTATATGCAAGGAATATAAAAATTATATATAACTATAACACAAAATAATACAATACATACATAAAAACAATACATTATATTTTACTCTTATTACACTAAAAAAAAGATATAGTAATTATTTTAATATTTATTTTGTTGGATTTTCAATTTGTCACTCGAACTGATTTTTTTAATGTTGGTTTTTTTTTTATATTTTATATTCAGCTATAGGTCGCTGTTGTGTCAAAATTAAAATTAAACATTTATTTAATATTTTCTAATATATTCTATATTTCGACTCTCCTTCAGTATCATCATGAGGATCAGGATGTAACATAAATTAACATTAATAAAATCTATATCTAAACTACAACATGCACTTGATTCCATTATCTATAGTGCACTAATAATATATATTAAACAAATGTTTAATTTTGATTTTAACAAAACGTGACCTATAGTCGGATATATACTCTTTTGTTTACTTATGTTTTTAATCCTTATTGTAGTTCATAAACAGTTTTTAAGCAATATTTGTAAATTTTATACTAAAATAATTATTGTGGGCTTGTATGTAATATAATTTTAAATAATATTGCTTTAAAATGTTTGCTTAATTAAATAACATTTTATTCGCAAATGTCTATCTACGATATAAATCTAATCAGAGATATTGCAAGATAATGTCTTTGTTTATAATTTATACTTTATGAACAGTTTTTAAGCAATATTTATAAAAATTCAGCAATATATAATTAATGTTGATATTTATATGAAATAATTTTTAACAAGATCGCTTAAATGATGGCTGAATGATAAAAAATAATAAAAAAAATAACTAAACAATATACCGAACTGGTCATAAATAAAACTAATTAATTAAACTAATTTATGTTAATAATTATTGAAATAATATGAAGTCGAACAAATTTTAAAACAAATGCGATATAAATCGTATAAGAGAGACTAAAACATTATATCTACATTTTTACAAATAATTAGTATACCTTTATTTATATATGTATATTTGAATAAATATGTATAAATAAATATATTTTACAAATACACGATTTATTACTGTTCAAATATATATTATTATAAGTAAAATAATAGAATAGTAGAATAGTATATGCATATACTATTCTACTTATATGCATCTACAATTTCTGGATATAAAAATAAAAAAAATTTCGTATATCTGTTATTATCTAAATAATGAAATTTATAAATTATTTAAGCTTTTCTTATGTATCATATAAAATTAAAAACAGTAAAAGCAAATTCATGAAATTTGCGTAAGAGCTGAGAGAAGGCATTTTGGATGGCTGGTAACATATAAAGATTTAACATCTTTCATTCTCTATTCCTAGTATTTTATATTTGGTTATTGTATTATTATTATGGTTAATACATATTAAATATAAAAAAATTTTTATTTAAATTTAGAATTTAGAACGTAGATAAATCTAATTTTTAAAATTTGTTGTTCCAGAATTATTAAAGAGACAATAATACTTACATATTAGGCAGCGTTTTTATTGAATATAATTTTTATTTTATTGAAATAGCATTTTTACATAATATTATAGTTTAAAGTCTTTTTTTTTGGGTCCATACATAATCCAATGTTTCCTTAGTTTTTGCAAACTGTATTGTTATTCAATACTTACAAATACTTTAAAACATAATTATAATTTTTATATGTATGTATACCTTCCTGCATATGGGTGGATGATTGCAGTGACAGGTCAGTAAATATCCTTTTACTTCCTGTAATAAGTGAATATTCACCGTTTTAGTACTATATCTAGCAAAAAATATAAAGAAATAAAAACTTGATTTATTACCTTGAACTTGAGTCATTTAACAAGCAGACCTTTTGCCCTTACCGATGAATGGTCTGACAAATTGTCAATGAAGTAATTTAATTCACCATTCCAATTTGAACCATTCCAATAAAAATTTATACATTCTAAGTTACTCAATTAAATAATAAAAATAAATAATAATAATTTATAACTATTTTATCTATTTATTGTAGCACTTAAAGGACAATTTTCACAAGAGAAAGATTAAACTAATGATCTTATTCAATACATTAAATAATTAAATTTGTCTTTATGTACTCTAATGATCTTGATCTTTAACTAATGATCTTATTCAATACATTAAATAATTTCATTAAATAATTTGTCTTTATATACTCGTATATAATTATATTATAGAATATTAATTAAAATAATTCATTATAATTTGCTTCTACTTCTACGACATTACAAATGGGCAATAGTTGTCTCTGTCTCGCTCTAGTGAAAGTTGTGACAGTTGTATCAGACGCGCCTTCACAACCTAACCTAACTAAGTGAAGTTAGTTTATAAAACTTATAAATTTATACAAATTTAAAGCCTCGTGCGGTTAATTGATTGATAATACTATTAGCTTTCGGTATAGTAACTAAGATTCTTTTTGTAGTGTCTTCTTCTTATACACTGGAATAACGTATGCTTCGCATTGTCAGGTATGCAATCATTATAGAGGCTGGCGGTTCTATAGTGACGACTTTGCGCTGAAGTGGTATTTACTTCTTCTTTAGCGTTTATAATCTTCGATCTTGAATCAAAAGAGTATATTTGCCGCCAACCGAATAGTTACTTTGTGTCTCTTAAAGGTGTTTAGGGTAATTCAGTCAGAACTCTCCTCTGTTATGTTCTCTTTTATTGTGTTTATCATGTCTGTAGTTTTACCGATATAAGCTGCTTTGTTCTATCATATCTACAGTCGTTCCAGTGTACATCTTCTGCATAGATACTTTATTCTAGTAGATTAGTTGACCCAATGTAATAAGAGTTGGTCTATTAGTTGTCACTGTGTGAACTAAGCGAAAGAAGATAGTTATACTGTTTTTATTGCGTCTTTGGTTAAAATACTCTAAAAGAAGATTATTTATGTTGTTTTTGTTTAAAGTTTAATAATTCTCTACTTGCTATAATAGTAGATTAAGTATAGTTTTTCTTAATATATTATTTAATTTTTATTTCTAAGTTTTTAATGATTTTTATGTAAAATTTAAAAAATTAATTAAATTTGTAGTAAAAATTGTTTAAATATTATAAAATAATGACTTCATATTTAATTTTATAACATATTTCTTATCAACTAATATATTTTTATAATTTTTTGATAATTATGAACTTATTTTTTAAATTTATATTAATAGTAATTATAATCATATAAATATGTAAAGAGTTAAGTAATTTTAAAAAATAATAAAAATTTCAATAAAAATTTATATTAATTCATAAATAAGTTAATAATTTAATAGAAAAAGTATTATTTCACCAAAAATAAAAAAATGTGCTAGCACGCGATATTATACGCCGTTGACAACATTCATTGTGAATGACAGTTGCACACATGCCTGCAAACAAAGCTTGACGCGCGATTACACTACAGTAGCTACAGCGGCTAGATATGACAAAAATAGAGTGAAGCAAATATTTTAGAAAATTCTAGAAAAATGTCTATCAAAACAAACAGTTTTTGTTGCACATTTGTTTTATTTTTGACTGTTTATGCATTTATTTGTAGTTCTACTTTTATATTCCGAACTAAATTATTTATTTCCTTACTTTTTAATTAAAAAATTTTTAAAATTTATAATTGATTCTTTAATTTTAATTTATTTCGCTACTCAATACGACTTGTTTTTTTTTTTTTCTTAAAAAAGGTTTTAATATATGACAGATTCAACAGTAAAAGTTGATTTTATGTTTTTGAGTTATTTTCTGCAATTGCAAGTACTAAAAATAGTAATACAGTGGAAGGTGCATCCAGAAAAAAGCAAACATTTGCGAACGAACGAACTTTTGTAGGTGCGATTACCTGCGAATATTCGTTAGTTGAATATTGAATGCATCTTGATAATGAGCGAACATATGTTCAGACAAAACATTGAAACCGCATATGACGTACGACACGTAAAATGAACATTTATTTATTTATAAATTTTATTGTAATAAAAAAGTTAGCTGTTTTTAGTTAGTAAATTTTTTGTGTTTAATATTATTGAAGTCAAGGAGATCAAAAAAATATAAAGAAATCAGCTCAATTTAGGTCGTATGCGAGTTCAAGTAAATTGAGGGAAATAATAAATTATGTCGGTATTGCAGCGAATGTTGGTATTTACCAGAATTTCGAGTAGGGTTAATTAGATAAAAATTAGGTAAATTAGGTGTTACCATTGTGAAAATTTTATAAGATGTTTAATAAATAAATAAATAAATTTCAAAACAACCAATAAATAAATAAATATTTACATAAGTGCAGTGCAAAAAATCCCTTAGGATATTTCAATTTACTTTACCTCAATTTACTCGAACTCGCACACGGCCTTAATAGAGAGTTTTCGAAAAGTACTGGACTACAACAACAAAAATTCTTTCTATATATTATTTTTTTATTAATTGAATTTTTGGCTGACCGTATAGCTGTTTGGAGTATTGCCAAATACGCATCATCAGTGGTCTTGGAATTATTTCTTATATTTATTAATTCAAAGAAACCTCATTATTAGTTATAAAAATCATTACTACAATTGTAATTACAATTGCTACAATCCGTAATTTGAAATTAACAAATATAGACCAAAATCCGTTTTTAATTATCTTAAAAATTATACTTGTGTTTGGAAATAAGAATCGCTGTATTAATCGAATGTAGGTTCATTTTATTATGTATACATAAATGTAGTTTTATGTCTTTGATACAGTTACAATGGTAAGTCCTAAAAGCCAATATTAAACTTAATTTAATTAATTTGGCAAGACCAAATTGAAATTGCAGACAGTTATTAACTTTTTGTTCAGACATCGATTTCGCCCAAATATAATGTTTTGTCACTAGAAGCTGAAGCAATAATTGGTTGTTTTGGATGAAAGTCAACGTCATTTACACATCCATTGTGTCCAGGTAATTTGTATAAAATCCGCCTACTGGTTGTGTCCCAAATATAAACGAAACGATCTGCAGAACCAGCACTGACCTAAAAAGTAAATAATATTAGTAATTTTTTTATTTACTATTACAATAGAAAGCAGTAGTATTTTTGGATTTGATTTTTACTAGGACTTTGAACTAGAACTTGATCGAAAATCTTAGTGGAAAATCTTTGTATTCAATACCGAACAGAGATCGACATGAATGTATTCAGAAGCCAGTATGAAATTCACTGACTAAACGCGCATCATGTGTGCACACGAAACAGTATACACGCGAACCAAAAGAAATACACTATTCCCAAAGCTTAATGAAGTGCACTGCTATGCTTCGTAAAAGGCAACGATCCTTTGTGAATGCTCCAGAGGTTTGTTACCTCTGACATTGAGGTAAGGCTCAACCGTAAACCCATTCAGCTTGTTTCCAAGCTAAAATATCTTGGCGTTGTCGTAAACACTACTAGTCGTGTAGTTAAGCTGCTCTGCTGTAATTAGCTAATTCGCCCCCTACTAACCTACACCTTACCCATTTGGCATGCAATCTCTTCCGCTCAGATGGAGAGAATCCGCTTGTTTAAGCGGAAACTGCTTCGTGATTGCAATTACAAGAGCAAGCCTGCCGGCAAGCACTTCTTCGTCTCTGTGCTTTATGTCAATGCCAAGATCACTCGTGTTGACAAGTACATTTTGTCACTCGCTTGTAGGTATCTCACCCGGCTGCACGACGTCGCCATTCCCAATACCCTCCCTGAAGACCTTGTTCAAGCCTTGTGATTGAAACCTCCTTAATACCTGTCCCTTAACTTAAATGACTGGGACTGAAATCCCCACGTCATCCCCTTTAAAACCGCGATTTTCGTGAATCTAGTGTCTGGTTTACTGTTAATGTCACCTCCGTGCTTGTGCAAAAACCCCACCCCCTTTATTATTACCCAATCTTCCTAAATTATGCCTTTGCTTTCCACTGTTCCACCGGAACAGACTATATCTAGTTTTTTAAATGAATGAAAAGTTGTTCGATTCGCAGTCCTGCTTATTAATGACCCATATGGGACTACTAATTCATGCTTTCAAATCTTCCTTTAATTTAGTGTAAGAAGTGATAACTAAGTGGTTTAATTAAATAATACTCACTTTACTTCCATCTGGAGACCAAGAGCAACGAAGTAAATTCTTTTCAAAATTATGCTGATGGCCGTTGAATATTTTCACGCACCTCTCTCCAGGCACAAAATTCCTTATATCCCATATCCTTAGCGTATTATCCATTGAGTTGCTAAGTAAATAAGACCCATCAGGGGATAGACATATACCAGTTACGGTATCTGTGTGGCCACGAAGGCGATGTAATACTTGCTGTTTCCGTACGTCCCAAATTTTAATTTCATTATCGATTCCACCACATATAATTTGATCTGCAGTATCATTAAAGCAGACAGATGTTATTTGATATTGATTATCGAAAGTATGTAGAAAATTCTTCTTTCTAATGTCCCACATTCGAATAGTTTTGTCATCTGATCCAGAGCATAACATTTGTTGGCCTCGCCTATTGCCATCGACAGAGTTAACAAATGAAGAATGACCTTTCAGCCGGCGTACACGTTGACCTATACTTAAATCCCAAAGTGCAATAGTTTTATCCGAAGAGCAAGAGTATATAAGAGAATCATCAGATGAAAAATGAGCTTCTAACACCGCCCCTGCATGTCCAGACAATGTCAAAACATTTTCACATTCGCCACTTACATTCCATAAATCTGCAAAAATAAAAAACATTAATTTTTGAACAGAATATATTTCGAATATTAAGTATTATATACATATTTGCCGGTCGTGACCAGATGAAAGCAATAATTGTCCCTCAGAATCGAATTCTGTTGTGTAAATCTCTCCATTATGTCCTTCTAGTAAGACTATAGGTGCAAATAATTCTGATGTTCGTTTACCTCGCTGCGTGTAATAACTTTATTAAAGAAATGTTTTTTATTTATGTTAATATATATTACCGATTCTACTAGTGCCTTTGACCTACTATTACTTAGTACTAATTCATTTTTTGGTCGTTTATGTTCTTGCATAAGAACAATGCTATTTCCTGGACGCTTTGTACCCATTGTAGATTGGCTTCCGTAGTCAATAATTTTAATCTTAATTATTTATATATCATATAAATTTACAATCCAGAGTTCCAAAGCGCTTACAAAATATCATACAAAACTAAAGAAACGATGAAAATATGAAACAGCTAATATCAAACTATAATAAGCCTGAAAATTAATGCAATTCCGTTTTGTTGTTATATTTATAATTAAATTTATTTTTAGTACAATAATATTGGCTATTATGAAATGTGTATCGATAGTCAATATGCATTTATCTACTGAGTCGTTTGGTGTTATGAATCTTGATAGCCAAACATGTGCACTATTGTGAATGATGTAAAGGTTTTAGAGCGCGCAGCTTTAATCGAACTTGTTTTGTTAATTGTGTTCGCTAATACTACGTTTACACTGATAGATTAAGAGAACGAGATTAAGTTAATCTGCATTTTTAATATCCACGGTTCACATTATACATTAATTTTGACGTTTCTCTTGTTGTGTTTTGTTTCGTGTGTTTGAAAAATGTTTCAATAGCAATTAGTAATAAAAAATGAGTGGAAATAGTGTTTTAAGTAATAATTTTTCTAAAGACGATATTATAACTTTAATTATAAGCTCAAATTCAAGTTCAGCAGAGAAAAAAAATTGTTCCATAGTTTAAAAATAAAACGCCGCCTGCATGGGTTAAATCTATACGTTCTTATACAAGAACTGAATAGTTTGTTGGAATATTTAAATATGAAGGAAACACGAAGATTGGGTATTATAACTAAGAGTTATTTATGTATATTTGATAATTGTACAATTGTGCTTTAGCAAAAATATGGAAAAATTTAATTCCCTCAATGTATGGGAGCTATAAAAAAGTTTTCAGATTATAAATAAATATTGCCATTATTATATTTTTTTTTTTAGATGAATGTCACATAAAAGTGAGACCCGTTGCAGCAGATGCCACGGACTATTTCAGCTACAAAGTGTGGTATTTAATTTCAGAGTAATCTTGCTACTCTGACTAAATATCTATAGTGTTATAAATTAATTTCAAGTGTTATACATTCAGATTGAGATTTATCAATCAAAAATGAAAATTGCACTAAAAGTGAATATCGAGTGAAAAAGTTACACTAAATTTACTAATCGAAAACGGTATTAATATATGAGAAGAGCATTATTAAACATTAAGAATATGAATATTTCCTAATCACAAATGAAGGCCTCCGTTATTATTGTTATGTATTTAGATTAATTGTGTAATTATTTTTAGACTCCTATAAAATGATTGCAAAAAATCAAAATTGCTTGGTTTATGAAATATCTACGGGTTATAGCTAGTTAATCTATTCTTTTTATGTTGAAAGTTCAACTTAAACGAAATACGGATTTCAATTAAAAGAAACGCTTAGATAATCTGTTTTTGGTTCCTTTAAGAAAGTTTACATTCAATAAGAGCTTCAATATTTTGTTGTAATAAAACCTAATATTCGTTCTCGTGTGTGATAAAAGAGATATGAAACGGAGTAGAATTTATATGAGTATGTGTGTATGTACATCTATATTTATTTTAAAATTTTATTTTTATAGTATGCTTAGTGAATCTTAACTAATATATTAATAAATATAATCCAAATAGCGACAGTGAGACAATGTCGTCTGTCGACTTATACTAGGTCTGTTCTACGAGCTACTCGTAGTAAAACTCAAATAAAACACATGTAAAGTACAAACTGAGAGCGTAACACAAAAAAAGTGGTAAATTACGCTCTTTACACAGATTTTCATGGTACAGCTTTGTGTAAAATCTGGTGAAAACAACAGTACCACGCAAATAAACAATACAAAAATTTAAATTCAAAATTTAGTTTTTAATTTTAATTCTAATGTCAATTTTAATTTTAATTTTCAATCTTATCTTATTATAAATATTTTAATGTCGCAATAGTTTTTTTCCAAAGCAATGGCTTAGGGAAAAAATGAATTTAGAGTTTTAAGATTTGATCCAGTTATTGTTAGTTTCGTTTTTAGAAAGATTCAATAAATAATTTATAAATTGACAAAAAAACATTCAAACCAAAACAGCTGATTCACATATCACACAGATTTTACTTGAAATAAAATGAAGGAGTAAAGTCTGTTTAGCATTTTCAAATTTCGACAGGGATGTTACGCACTCTCAGATGCTCTCATTTACGCGAAAATTTGTTGATCAAATGCATTTATGTATACACAGTGTTACTTAAAACTCCTACGAGTTGTTCGTGGAATAGACCTAGTATAATAGTAAACATAATGGTAGTAGCATAAAGAGTAGTATAATAGTAAACTAATAAATACACATTATAAATAAGAGATAAGCTATAAAATATATATCAATTATTATTATTAATTATCATATTGAGATATCATTTAAATTTTCATTTAATTAATCAGTTAAAAAAATGTAGAAAGTGAACTATCTTATAAATACTATTATTATAATCATATTATAATTATTATTATTATTATGACATTATAATTATAATTACTATTATAATGTTAATATAATTATTATGATAATTATAATTTTAAGTAATTAAGTTTTTAAAAATATAAATGCGTTTTTATTTACACTATCAAATATTAATATTGTGCTGTTTGCCTTTAAGTGGGTGATATTGAAATTACCTAAGTGGGGGATTACCTAGCAACAAAAAATAAACAAACTTTTCTACAAAATACAAACAAATGAAATATACTTAACGTTTAGAATAAAAAATATATACATTATAAGCAATCATCTTTAAGTGTTTTAATTTTTTTTTGAAATGGATTTAAGTCGTTTGGGAACCGGGAATGCAAGCTTTAATAAGGAAAAAATGCAGATTGCTGTAGACGGAACGATTGGAATAAATTCTGGGGCAGAATATGATATGCACTACTTTTTGGCAGCTTCTTTTTATAGACGTCGAGGTTATCAGAAGTGTAACGAGTTGTGTAACGAGATTCTAAAAGTTGAAAATGAAAAAAATAATACCGTATTTCCTTCGCCTAACAATGAAAATATACAACAGGCACATTTAGGCGAGAATCAAAAAAATTATTTACGAAAAAATTCACAGAAATCAAGAACTAGTTTCGACCAACCTCAAACACAAGGGCTAAATACCGGTGGCAAGTCTAAATTTAATATGCAAAGAAATGTGCCTGCTTGGATAAAAGAAAGTATATGGGAAATAAAAATGCGAGCACTGACTCAACGCGTCTATGTCGACGATTTGGAAACGGATGACGTTTATGACATGGGTATGAGAGGTTTTAGTGCAATTAAATGAACTTATTTTAATATATAGAAAAGCCTACTTCAATACTACTGGCGCCGATTTTACAGTTATGGCTCAAATCTTGAAGCTGACTTAAGTATGAATTAAAGTCAGCAAACTTAATGACTTAAGTTAGTATTGAGATTTAAGTCAAAACTTAAGTTAAGAATTAAGTATCGGCCCATAATTTATTAGCTTTTTCAGATAATTCGTAAGGTAAATGTAATATAATAAGTTAGTTTTCTTGGAATACGTTATGATATTATTAATATACTTATTAGATTTGATTATAGTTTATTTTGACATAAAATGTGGACATAAATATTAAGTAGAGAAAATTTAAGTGATATATACTTTCAATATGATACTACTTCAAATTTTTTAGCGAATGAAGAGACTGATCTCGAACGTATTGCAACCGCGGCAAGACCAGGAACTTCAATTAAAGTAGCATTTATTCCCCGTCCTTTAACCCGTTCACTCGAAAGTAGAGATTCAAAGTCACGTTGCAGTACTTCATCGTATTTGAAAGCCACTTCATCGGGAGAACAAACAACAGAGAGAGTAAGTATTTTATATGTATTAGATCTATTTTCAAATAATGTACAAATATAAGTAAAACTTATTAAATATCCTCTTTATATATAGTTAAAAACGCCATCGGGAAATAGTATAACGAGCCGACCAAGTTCACGTTGTGGTACTGCTTCAAGAACTCGTTCAGTTTTGGCTACTTCACTTACTTTTGATGATAAGACAGCACCTCTTTATCAGGCTTCACGTCTCAATCCCTCAATATATGCAGAAAATCAGAAGCTTATTAAAACTATTTTTCAGTTCCTTTTTTACCATGAATCTGACCCACAAAAGGCTTACGTGCTGTGTGAGGCTGTTTTACGAATAAAAAGCATTGATTGGTGGTGGCAGCAACAAATTGGACGTTGCCTATTAGCTTTAAGGCAACCGAAAAAGGCAGAGTTGTATTTACAACAATCATTGTCGATGTTTCCCCATCCAGACACTTACATACTTTTGTCCCGGTTATATCAAGTACTAAATGAACCAAAACGATCACTTGACTTGATCGTTAAAGCAGTCGATCAACACCCATTTAATATAACCTTTCGTATGGAACAAGCTCGAATTTTAGAAATAATTAACCAAGATGAAACCATCCAATTATATTGTTTGATCACTAAGTTAAATCCAATTAATGTCGAAGCATTAGCATATATCGGTGTAAAATATTTTTATGAGAATAATCCCGAGCTGGCTTTGATGTATTTTAAGTAAGTTTATTTTATAGTGTCGGAAAAAATTCAAATTTTATTTAATTAAATTTTATTTGTTAGACGGATCTTATCATTGGGTCTGCATTCGACGGAGCTTTACTGTAATATTGCTCTCTGCTGTTTATATGGCGGCCAGATCGAGTTAGTTTTACCTTGTTTTCAGCGTGGTCTCTTAACAGCGAAAACTTCAAAGCAAAAAGCTGACTTATGGTACAATTTAAGTTTTGTTGCAATTGTAAGTATGGTTATATAAAATCTATATATATAAATAATACGTATATTATATATATACAGGTAGCTATATATATGATACGTAAATATGCAAGAAATATATTCGTTTAAAGTTTTTTTATTAATGATATTAAAGTACTTACTCTATAATCTTAAAGCTAACATTCTGCCGTTTATTGGAATTGATCATGTCATAACACCGTTGCTCCAAATCGAATTAGTTCCTAAACATATTGCCATTGGTTCGGACTTGAAGAGAAAGCATGTAGGGATATTTCCAATAAACAACTCAACGGTTAATTACTAAATACATACTAAAAAAGTACTAAAATAAATTGGCGCTACATATTTGGTACTTTCAATGACTCTCAATGTGGGTGATGAGAATGTTCTGGAAGAATTTATAAACTCCTCTAATCTTTAACACTTTCTTATGCGTTGTTGGACTTCTTATTAATACATACCTTATAAGACATTCAGACAATTATTTTCTTGAAAAATACTTCGATCTTAGCTATAGTTTATAATATATCTAAATGGTGTGGCCATTTAAGATCCCAAAATGCTTCAATCCTTATTGTTCATATCATGGTCGACATCGTCGTTGTGAGTCTACTGTATTGATTGGCATATTTTACACTTCTTGGAAACCGCTATTGGTTGAGAGTGGTTCGCGTGCAACTTGTTTAAAATGGTTCTGGTTTCGATCGTAAAGAACGAGTACAAATACAATCATTGGCTTAAAATTACATAGACTAAGTTTAAAATGTATAGAGTGGAAAAATCTAATAACAGCATTCGTTGTAGGAACTACGGCTTGTTAGGTTTCTTGATCTATTTTATTCTATAGTTTAGCTCTACTCAATGTCATCAAATGCACTTTTCTTGTATATTCATCAGAAAATTATATGATAATCGGACTTGAAGTTAGATATTTCATAAACGGAATTAGTATAAGTTTGTAGAAGATTTAGACAATCCATCACAGAACATATTTCAGTCAAAAATGTTATTTAAAATGTATACAATAACTTTTTATTATTACAGACCACCGGAGATTTTAAACTTGCCCGTCGTTGTCTTCAACTCTGCCTAACCTTTGACAATCGAAATGCCGCAGCACTTAATAATTTGGCCATATTATATGCGCAGTCAGACAACATTCTGTTCGCAAAGTCACATCTCAATGCAGCGAAAGAAATCTCAATTGACTCAATTGAGGTGAATATGAATTTGAAATACTTTGAAAAAGTTTATAAATAAGTTAAAAATAAAATAAAATAAAATTTGTTTTAATTAAAATTTTGTTAACCAAAAAACAATGAATAATATGAGTGTACCTGAATTAGAAAATTATACCTAGTGAGACAGACAACAATTTCGTGGATGTGATTCTTTTTCCTTAACTTTAGTAAACATCAAACATTCAACTCAGGTATCAGACACTATATATATTTTAATATAGTTTACCGCAGATGTCCAGAGTTTTTCACATGATTACCTACTTTATTGGCTCAACACAACTATGGTCTAAACACACATAACAAGATAATGCGTCGACAGATGCTTCATTGGAGTTCCAAGGAACTCCGCTGGTACCAATTGAAGTTATGTGTTTGGCATAACTTCCCGCTGGTAAGGAACGCGGCCCATCCAACTTCTGCTGATTTTTGGGTAGTTCACCTTAATTTATTATCAGATCGTGTTTAATACGTCAAGTGATGCCAATATTGCCGCCATAAACAATGAGTTTTATATATTTAATAATTATTTATCGAGTGTTGGCAATCACTTTAAATCTTTAAGCCTTTGTGCACTGAGAGTATCCACTTTTTGATATAAAAATCAAGAGATAACAATTGAAGTACGGTATTAAGCGCACTTGTGGGGCACGATCCCGTTGCGCTCGCACAAGCAAATCTTTGCAGACTGGTAAGTCCTTAAATGCTGTATTGTTTATTCAGCGAGGGCCACCACACCAGACATCCTTATGTTAAAATTGTCCGAACGACGGCTGTGTATATTCAGAGAAATACTTTAGGTTGCAATTTCCAGCTGTTACCACATATCCTTTTGCACGCATTGAAGGCCTCGCATGGTTCTAGGGGCATCTTTATATGTAGACCACACCTTGGTTGAAAACTTTCGTTGAAAGCTTTTTGTGAATCCTCGCGGAGCAGAGAGAATTTCTCGTTCCACCATGTTGACCCGCATTTCTTCGCATATGGGCGCGAAAACGATGTTTTAAATGAAGATAAAATGTTATGGGCGAATGAGTTAACCCTACTCTTTAATTGCCTTCTCGAGGTAATTGGCACCGGGTTATTATTGATCTTGCTATTAAGCAATGTACTGAAAGTATCGCAGTTTGCCGTCTGCGGACTACATTGAGACTGCTTAGCTGATATGGTAATATTCATCGCAAACATAATGTATCTATGATCTCAGAGGAATTCTTGGCTAAGACTCTCCCGTCATTGATCACTAAAGAAGAAAAAGTCGAACAAAGAGTAACATCTACAACCTCTTTCCAACCTGTATGATCATCTATACTAGGAAATACGAAGGTAGGAATGTTGTCCTTATTAAAAATTTCACGTTGATTTCCATGCTTCCCCACAAGGAGTGTCGGGCATTGGCGTCACAACACATCAGTAATACTAGCTTCTCAGTCTGTGTAAAATTGTGGACTAGTTGTACCCCGTCTGGAGGCGTCTCATTATCATGTAGCATGGTGGTGCTGATATCTAAGGATCTTAAATGAGAACAGAGAAAACCATTAAGTTACGTTTTTGATAAATTGCACGATCAAGGCTTATCCTGTCCTTTAGAGTAATAAAGATAATACCTTTTAATGCTGAGCTCATTAACATATTGAAAATATGCTTTAGCAAATTGCTAAAGCAAGATTTTTAGGCAAACAGCAGGGACAAGTTTAAGCTTTAAACTATCCCGGTTTTCACTAATCTTAGTGATCGCTTTGCTAAGAAAATTTCTCAAATACTTGTCGTTGCATCTGATTCCCGACCTCGGACCATATCTGCGCAGTCGAAGGATGAGACAGACCCTAGATTGGTCATGAGCTCGGCCATAACCAATTCAGACAGTTTGGTTTTAATCAGCGCCCACCTCGCTATCAGCACCTTGCTGTTGGAGTTGTATTCATCGATCAAAGCTACATTGCGATGATCCCTCGCCACTTTACTGCAGGGAAGATCGCTGCCATGCCGGGATCTTGCTGGGATTTGTTACGCTTACCGCTATCTCCAACGTTCTTGCTGGTGATTGCAGATTGGTGCAGAACCTCTTCATGGAGAAACTCTTTCTTAATGCCGAGATAAATCACAGCGTCTACTTCGTGTTGTTTATGGATCTTGGTTTTTTTTTATTACTCTCGATCTTGAGCATAAAAAGCGCTCACTGATTTTTTCGTGCCATGCTAGCCGTTTTTTTGCGCAATTTTAACTTACCCTTACTGCCAAGACTAGCAATTTTGAGGGTTGGCGAGCAGTTTGTATTCGATTTACTATGACTGGTAGACGGAACGTTTTCGAAAGTTTTGGTTGACAAATGGTTAGTATTAGACGCCGGTATACTGTAACTGGTACAACTAATATTGGAATCTGCGACGATCTCATCTCTGATTTCGATAGTTCGTTCTCCATTAGTTTGGTGGATTTATACTCTCCAACCACAAGTTCCAAGACAATATCGGAAGGGTTTTCATTTTTCTTTAATATTTAAACATAACTAAAAAGTATAAAAGTAATATTAAAAATATGAAATTGATAAACTAATGTGACATATGCATTTTCGTCATGGCTCGAAAGAGCCAATATTGACGTGTCAGCAACACTACTCTACATAACATGGGTCTTACTGAAAATTTCCAGTCAACAGCTGACTGAAATGCATTGTAAAGGTAAACAATTTAGTGTTTCAACATACAAAAATTGTGTTTTAAAAAATTCAATATTTTAAAATAATATGTATTCATATAATATATATTCAAATTTTTTATGTAATTATGTAATTATATTTGCGAATATTTATATTTAAATATATATTATTTTCAAAATTTGTTTAAAAATTTTCTTATTATATAATTTAATAAAATATTTATAATCAGTTAAAATAATTTTTAATGATTTCTAATTTGTCCTTTTATAAAAATTCAATAAAATAAAATTATATATTTCTAATTAATAATTTTCTTTTTATTTTAAAAAATAAAATAAAAAAAAATTAATTATAAAACGTTCTTAAATTATAAAACTTAACATTTATGATTTAATTGATTTTGTTGGAAATTTTTTTTTATAAATTTAATTTGCGTTTGAAATATTATTTATACATTTTTGTTTAAATAATGAATTATTTCGTTTTTTCTAACGACCAAATTACATATGTTTTTTTTTTTCAACAACAATAGCAACAACATTAACAATTACCTATGGCATTCGTGTTGAATAAATTTTGACTGTGTGGTAAATTAAACAATATGCAGCTCACATTTTATTTTTCATTTTTAATATTTAATATAATTAGGATAGCTATTAAAAAAAAATATTGAAATATTTTATTATATATATTTATTTATTATTATTTATTTATTTTATTATTATTTATTTTATTTTTATATATTTATAAGCATTTATATTAATTATGTTTATATATATTTATTTAATTATTAATTTAATTTAAATTGATTGAGAGAATGCCAGAATTATATTTATTCATATCACCTAATGGATTGTTTCATTCTTGAGCAAAAGTCAAAAAATGGCATTCGTGTTGAATAAATTCTGACAGTGTGGTGAAGTAAACGATATGCTGCTGTCATTTTATTTTTCATTTGATTAGAATATTAGAATTATTATGTTAAAATATTTTATTATAAATATATGCATTTATATCACGTATGTTTACATATATTTATATAATTGTTAAATTAATTTAAATTGATTGAGAGAATGCCAGAATTATATTTATTCATATCACCTAATGGACTGTTTCATTCTTGGGGAACAGTCAAAAAATGAATTGTTGGAGGGCCCTGTGAGGTTTTTGCTTACACTACTTTCAACAAACAAATTACAATAAATAAATAATGAAAACAATAAAGTACTGATGTGTTCTTTCTATTCGTAAATATTGTATGCTTTAAAATGGCCGATCTTAAGCGGGACTTAGATGAATACTTACTGCTGCAGAGCGACACAAAAAAAAGCACGAGCAACAGAATAAATTTGCCACAAATACGTGTTCCTGACGTGACAAAATTATTTTCCAATTCCAGCCCAAAAACAGAAAATAACACCCGTTTAGAGAGTATTAAGAACTATCTTTGCCCCGAATTGGTATTTATGCTTTGCTTAAGAAATTATATACGTATATGACAGTTAATAATTCTATAAAATTCCAGTCTCGCCTACAGCGCATCATTGGCTTCCTTGCCTGTATAGGCATAGGCACGATTTGCCTTGTCAGCTCAATATTCTACATACCCGTGTTAATATTGAAAGCGCGAAAATTTGCACTGCTCTACACAATGGCTAGTTTCTTTTTTATACTGAGTCTCTGCTTTCTCTTGGGCTTTGGTGTTTTCCTGCAGCAAACATTCTCCAAAGGTCGTGTCCTTATTTCTGGATTTTATACTGCATGCCTTTGTGGTGCGTTGTACTTTGCGCTGTTCAATCAAATCACGCTGTTAACAGTGCTCTTCGCCATACTCCAAACCTTAACGTTACTCTATCTAATAGTCGACACAATTCCTGGCGCTGGAAAGAGTATAAAATTTTTTGGACAAATCTTTAAAAGCAGCATTTCAGCCTCCAATGTACTGCCAGTATGAGCTAAAGTATAGAATAGAATGAAATGAAATATATTAATAAAATTGCTTGTGATTAGTTGCTATTACTTAAAAGCCAGCATACTTCAATACTAAAGGAATCACAATAATTGTTGAATACTTTTATAAAATAGACTAATATAATGTTAATAAGATATAAATACGTTTTGTGTGATATTTTATGTAAATAAACAACAGGTACAATATTTGTTTAAGATTTGAAAACCTTGTGCTTCTCTCTATGATTGTCATGAATAGCATATATTTTTTATATATTATAGGATATCATGTTTATACATATGTATAATTTACCAAAAAACAAGAAATATACAAATTAAATAACTACTGTTTTCTTAATTTAGAAATACTGTTATTTATTAATTATAAAAACGATAACTTCTCGGGATTACAGTAAAAACTTCCTACTATATTAATTTCACTGATGTTAAAAGAAGAAATACTTGCAAGCAATAATAAAGAGGAACTAATAGCTGATTAATTTTAATTATATCCTCCCTCCCCCCTTCCCAATATCTCCTTAACTCTAACCCCACCCATTCACTCTTCTACCCATGTATTCGTCTTGTAATCCTTACATATTACCTGTTTTTCAGATCCCGACGGGTTACAACAACAACAGGAGCTAATAACCAAGTTTTCTCAAAAATTATTATAGATGCATATTTGAAACGAGTGGTTTGAAGAAGGCAAATCCTCCAGACACCTATTTTGATAAATTCGTAGAATATAAATGAATCACAAGCTGTACGAATTTAATCGCAGCATTCATATAAATCAGCTAATTTGCTGGCGTGCCTAAGTCGTGAAAATGGATGATAATGCTCGAGCGAAAAAGTGTGTTTGAAGCGGTTGTTACAGAAATAAGGCATAAAGGTAGAACGTATCTCCCAGAACTAGGAAGCTTCTAATGCTGGACATCACGAAGTTAATAAGCATCTATCAAACCTTGGTATTACAAGAGATGGTAGCTGCAGACTTTGTTGTGAAGCAGAAGAAACAGTAGAACACATTCTGTTTCACTATGATAGTCTCGCCAGACTCAGACTTCGGTACTTACAAAGCGCCTATCCAATAATAACGCAATTAGGCAACATCTCTCCAAAGTACATAATGGCGTTCTTAATTGCTACTCGTCTATGGAACTTAAATGGGTGTGTCACAATAATCATCAAATGCAGTGACGTGGAGATAAGTTTCGACCTCGTTTAAAATCTATCTATCTAGTTAGAGTGTATCTCCGGTGAAGTGATTAAGCTGAGAGAGCACCAACCGTAATTGATATACGATACTAGAGAAGACAAACTGGCTGAAACCTAGTAACAAGTTTTTATGGTTATTTAAATAAGCAATTAATGTAATATAAAAATTTAAGACGAAGGATCTAGCACTCCAGTTCCTTATTCTTAGTTAACTTTGAAATTAATTTTAATGTTAACTCATAAATAAATAAAAAAAGTATTGCAAATAATTAAAAATTTTAGGACTGGACAATTTGTGCTACACAGTTACTACGAGTAAGAAGAAAAAAAAATTAATTAAAAATATGAATAAAAAACATTGAAAAAAGGAGATAAGGACCCATGGGCTTATAATTGGCATTGTAGACACTTTTAAACTGCCATATCTCAAGCTCCTTAAATGATAGAAACTTGAAATATAATGCATTTTAAAGATAATGGATTGAACTTTTAAGAACTTTTAAGTTTGAACAATTAATATTGTTTATGTTTAAGTTCTAATATAAACCGTTAAATTAAAAAAAAAATTTCTCCAAATACGTAGAGAGAATTTTTATTTTTTATATTTTATTTAGATTCAGTTTTGAATTTTATTGAGAAATAAAAACTTTCAGGATGGCTAAAGCCATTTTAAATTATTTAAAAATTTTTTTTTTCATACAAAACATATTCACCACATACGTATAATATTTCCAATTAATGAATTTTCAAAGAATATAAGGTCATTTTTTTTCAAAATTCAAAAAATTAGCGCAGATATGTGAGATGCACCAAATTTGTCCTCGAATTGTGGCGCTTCAAGAATTGTAATCTGCGTATTTATATTTTATTATAGTTTTGGTATCTTAAATAAAACAAAACAATGGCAACCCCAATTATTGCTCATCTCCTACTTTATTGCTGAAAAATGTTTTTTTCGAGCAAGAAAAAATGTATTGTCGGTAAAGCAGTAATTATTGAATCACAAAAACGCAATATATTTGTTTTTTAATTAAATAATTAAAATTCATCAAGAGAATTGTTGTTGTTTACTAAATAACAATTGTTCTTTTAGTTTTGACTTTTAGAATTTTTACCTTTTTTATAAGTGCAAGATTTCAAAATATTTTAAAAAATACATAGTTGTTGTTGTTTTCGATTTACGATATTACACTTTATTTATAGCAAAAGACTTATATTTTTAGCTTAAGGATCATAAAACAGGTGATAAACTGAACTTAGATCACCACTATTGTTGTTGCTTCTAATATAAGTTAAAATACTGAAAACTATAAACCGGATGACCTCATTTGTTTCCTAATGTGTTTAGGTTTTTATAATCATTCTTATTTACTATTATGCAATATTTCTAATTACAAAAAATAACAAAATGATTGTGTTGATATATATATATATATATATATATATTTAATTTTATTAAATATTTTAAACATGTTACATATATTTTCTTATTTTAAAAATAAATATTTACATCATTAAATATCTTAAATATTGATATCTCTAGCATCAGTGTTGGCTAGATACTTGTCTTTATAAATGTGTCTGGCTGGTTTTAGCTTGACCTTCTCTCTACTACCCACTATTAAGAAGTTTTGTGGATTTAAAGCGGCTTTTTTAGCTAATTGAGGAGGACTTGTTCTTCCCTCTACCACACTAACAAACTAACTATCTTAAATGTATTTAATATATATATATATATATTATATTATATTATATATAAATATTTTTTGTAACAATAATACATAAATTTGATTATTTGAAATATTTTTTTTACATATTTTATACATATACTTTATTATATAATACATATATTTTATTATTTTAAATATATTTTTATATATTTTATATATGTATGTACTATATTATATTATACATATTTTTTTTTGTTATATTTATACCTATATTTCATTATCTTAAATATTATTTATATATTTACTTTCTTTAGAAGAACAATACAATTCCATTATCCCTAACGTTTTTATTATATATTTTCCTGTAACAAAAATTTATATATTCCAGTATCTTAAATATTTTCAATATATAAATATATATATAATCTTGTAACCAATATATAAATATAAATATAAAATATTCTATTTTATTAACTTGATTTTTAAAATCTATATATATAAAAGAAAGTTGTGTTAGTTACACCACTTATAACTCAAGAACGGCTGAACCGATTTAGCTGAAAATTGGCAGGGAGGTAGTTTAAGGCCAGGAGAAGGACATAGGATACTTTTTATCCCGTTCGACAGCATTCCCGTGTGACTTGACATGAAACGTCAGTGGTGAGAAACGACAAAGTAGGTTTTGAAATTATCAAATTTTTGATATAAGAAAATATTTTATTAAAATTTAACAGATAGAAATATAACTTAGTTAATGTGTTTTTAAAAGTTGTATTAGATCAATATAAGTTTGTGTTGCAATAAATATCGTTTTTAATCAATAAAACTACCTGGTTGTTGCAAACTTAACAAAATAAATAATTAACAATTATAATGTATGGTATGGTTGAAAATTTGAGTATAGGATACTTTTTTTCCCGTTCGACAGCAATCCTTAAAAGTTTGTGGTTTAAATCTAGAACATTCATGTTTTTCCCATGGTCAATTATACGTGGCATGTTCACGGGTCGGAAGACCATCTGCGTTGTTTGTTTTTGCGCCTGATAATAAATCAAAAAATGTCGTGTATCACAAGGTACTTAAATGAAGAGCAACCTATGTACTAAAATACACAAATAAATTATGAATGATTAATGTAGGTATTTTTTTTTTTGTATTTTTTCCAATTAAAAAAAAACTGCTTATTTATTGCCTTTAAGGCGGAACAGAGTTCGCCGGGTCATCTAATAGTATTAAATATAAAAATATTAAGATCTAAATAAAATTTGTTAAAAAACTTGCAAAATTAGAGTGAAAATTTATGAATGTTTAATAAAAAAATTGCATATGGAAATAGTAAATAAATTTTAAGAATAAAAGAAATTTTAAGAAATATAGCAACACAAAAATTTTGTTCAAAAAATTGCAAAAAGTGAAATAACATTGTTATTATAAAAATTAAATTTTAATTGGATCCAATTAACAATTAATTAATTTAGGCCGTGTACGAGTTCAAGTAAATTGATGGTAAATTGAGGGAAATAGTAAATTATGTTAGTATGGCAGCGAATGTTGGTATTTATCAGAATTTTATCAGAATTTCGATTAGGGTAAATCAGATAAAAATTAGGTAAATTAGGTGTTGCCATTGTGAACATTTTATAAGATATTTAATAAATAAATAAATAAATATGAAAACTTTCAACCAAAAATAATAAATAAGTGCAATAAATAAATAAATAAGTATTTATATAAGTGCAATGCAAAAAATTGCTAGGAAATTGCAATTTGCTTTATTTCATTTTACTCGAATTTGCACACAGCTTAATTAATTTAATTGTAAAAATTTTAAATAATATAAGCACTAAAATTACAAATTAACTTAAGTAGTATAATTGTAAGCCTGAATCAATTAAATTATTAAATTCATTAAAAATCTTATTGAACCCAAAATATCAATAAAAAATAATTTATATATTTTATTGTAAGTCTGTGTGTAAAAGTAATTGATAGGAAATGGGTAGATAACACAGTAGATGAACTCTAACTACATTATCGATATATTCATTTCGTATGAAGATTCTAAATAAATAGAATGTAATGATTATCATTAGTGATTTTGTTTTGCATTTTGAATGATGAGCTTTACGTGTACGTTTAACGAAAAAACGTTTTCATTTTGTGTACAATAAATTTTTGCTGACGTTTAAAAAAATTTTATTTTAATACCGAAAACAACTATACGAGCTATGTGTAAAAAAACACAAGGCTCTATAGTTAAGAATATCAAATAAAAAAATATGGAAATGCTTTAAAAGCTCGTGTAAGTGAAATAACAAAACAGATATTTTCTTTTTGGTATGCAAGCAGGTATATATGTATGTATGTATATATATAAATGTATGTATATACATATATACTATGTAAATAACACAAAACAAAAAGGTTCTTATTGGGAGTTCAACAGTGCACAACGCAAATAAAAATAGTGGGAATATAAACAATAAAATATTTTGCAAATAAAAATGATGAAATTGAATTAAAACGACATTTTGCTCGATATAAGTTAAGGTGAATTATAATGCGGTAGTTTTTGTTTTAACTATTTTTGTAAAAATTTATAATTGTAAATATGTAATATCAAATTCAATATGTTCAAATACAGGTAATCAGAATAAGCTTAATGAATGCTCTATTTTTTTATGTGTATTTATCTATCAGTTTGCTTTTTGAAGTATTCCATATACATTTTTATTTGTTTTTGTAATATTTTTTATTTTCAATTTTTCTTTTGAGTGAGTGCCTCTTTAAATTTTTGAATCCCTCAAATTGCTAGAAACACACGGGTAAATGGAAATGAAAATGGAAATGAAAATGGAAATGTAAATGTGCATGAATTTATTTATTTTGTGTCGCCTGTAGAATTTGCATATTATGTTGTGCTATGCCCTGTGCTGTGTTGTGTTGTTGTGTTTTGTTGTGTACCCTGTGCAGTGAAAGTTCATGAACAAAACTTGAAAATTGCTGCCAACATTTTCGAAACAATGATTTTATTGCAAACTATTTTACATAAAATGTTCTTGCAATAGTCATATCTCATACATATGTATATAATATGTATTTAAAATGAGAAACAAAAAAAAAAAAATAACAGATATTTTAGAATATTTAAAATGCTAAATAATTGTTGAACTATTTAAAAACGGTGTGAAACCCTGTTTTGGTGCACTGTCACGCACTTACCGGCACTTTTTTTTTTTTTTGTGATCCCTTTTATGACAGAAATACCATACAACACCACGGCAACCACTTGTTTTAATAATCCAAACAATTTAAGCTCTGTGTGTGAGTGTGATTTGTGAGTGTACGCGAGTTTTTTGGAGCGTTCAAGCATTTTGTGTGTATATAAAGTAAATGCAGAAAGGTTGACAGAAGTTTCGCAGTAGAAAATAACCATAAACAGTTATTAAAAATTGAAAATAAATTGCAATGATAAACATTTGCAAATGGAAATTGTGGTAAACTGTGAAATAAGCACTTTTTATGGATATTAAATTAAAGCTGGAATTACGCATTGGAACTTGAAACATATGCGAGGTTGCAACTTTTGTTATTTGACACAAACACACACACACATACATACCGTGTACACCGTTACCCGCGGAGGGTTGTGCATAAATAATTTGTTATGTACATAATTAATTGTGTTACATGAGTGTTTTTAAAGTGTTTAACATTATTTACATTATTTGGATTATTTGGATTATTTACATTATTTACTAAATGTGCATATAAAGCTTTCTGGAGTGTGTCAAATGTTGATATATTTGCTTTGGTAATGTACAATATGTAAATTAAATTGAACAGATGGGCAAGGGGACAACTCAACATAATTAAAAACTAGGTTTTTCTATGTCACAACATACATACACACATATGCGCATACATACAATATGTACAGTTTTTTTTTTTTTTTTAATTGTATTTAATAACAATTTTACAAGCTTACGATATTTTTCTATTTTGTCAAATACGGCATTTTTACGGCATTCTAATTTCACGGCATATCGTGAAATTAATTGTGGATTTGTGTTTTGTTTTAAATTTTCATATTAATTACATTTTCAATTAACTTATTAAGCATATGTACATATGTATGTATGTATGCATGCAATGAGCTGAAAAGCTGCTGTACATACATACACGAGCACTTCCCCATGCATGCGCGGTGTAGATACACTGCAATAACAAATTGAATGTACTTTGCTTTTGTTTTTGCTTTTTTCTTGTTCTTGTTTTTGTTTTTGTTTTTGTTTGTGACACAAATTTTTTTTATTGCTACCTACAGTATAATTTATGTATAACACAGAAAATGCGTACAAAGGACATCCTACACAATTATATCGCATAATCAGGATTTGTACTTGTCCGTCTGTCTGTCCGTTTACCCCTTTGTAATTACATTTAAATATCGGAAAATTGTTAAGATTTATCTATATTTTACACTGAAATCGTGTTTTTAAATTTAATTGAATATAGCAAAAATATATTACTTGTCATGAACAAAAAAAAATAATTGCAACTAAACATATTCTAACATGTAATTATTGCACTCACATTCGCATACACATTCACATACTGCTCTTAAGGTCCTTTCGGAACTGGAACACGTTAATGTGTCATGTGTTCCACCCATTGCATATATATCAATATATATATTCATACATATACATATGTATATGTTTTATTAGTTAATTCCATTTTTGCTATAACAGTGCCTTACAAACAAAATATGGTGGTACCTCGTGATTAATTTCTGAAGGACAAATTAACCTGGTATCTACAGTATGTACATGATATAGCAGTTTCTCTGATCAGATAACTTCATTTTTGATAAACATATTCAACTAAAACCTACAGTATGTGTATAATATAGTAGTCTCTCTGTTCAGATAACTTGATTTTCAGTACGTGTATGATATAGCAGTCTCTCTGATGAGATAACTTGATTTTTGATAACCATATTTAATTAGAACCTACAGTATGTGTTAGATATACCAGTCTCTCTGTTCAGATAACTTGATTTTCAGTATGTGTATGATATAGTAGTCTCTCTGATCAGATAACTTCATTTTTGATAACCATATTTAAATAGAGCCTACAGTATGTGTATGATATAGCAGTCTCTGTGTTCAGATAAATTGATTTTCAGTATGTGTATGATATAGCAGTCTCTCTGATCAGATAACTTCATTTTTGATAACCATATTCAACTAGAACCTACAGTATGTGTACGATATAGCAGTCTCTCTGATCAGATAACTTGATTTTCAGTATGTGTATGATATAGCAGTCTCTCTGTTCAGATAACTTGATTTTTGATGACCATATTTAACTAGAATCTACAGTATATGCATGCCTAGAATTATATTTCAAGAACTAAAAAATTTGTGAACTCTCCAATAATATCATATATTGATATAGAGTTATATATGTGGTACCTGGTTCTTAAACCAGGTACCACATAAAAGAATTTCCTTTTTTTCCATTATTTTTAAATAGTTACAAGTTACAATCTGTAGAAATTGCAGGCTTACTGATAAAAATGATATACCGATACCTAATCGGCCTACTGCGCATGTCCCATTTTACAATCCATATTGAACTACAACTAATGTGTACCAAAGTATTTACTTGTTGATATCTTCTTATAATAATACGTTTCCTTCGATTCCATCATTGATTTATTATTATAATTGTTATTAATTTGGAAGGGATATTGCACTGCGGCCTATAGATCTATTTCATTTCATAGATACAGAGCCCATATATATTTAAGAATTTATTTGTTGATATCTGTTTATATTAATACGCTTACTTATATTGCGTTATTAATTTATTATTATTATAATAGTTAATATTTTGGGTGGGATTTTGAACTGCTAGCTATTGTGTGCCCTTCAAAGATACAGAGTCCATTCTCTGACTTAAATCATTAGCAAGAAATACATAAAAAATGTAAGCCATTAAATGAATAAAATAGCTGTGAATCAACTGAATAACATATGTAGTTTTAAACAAATTAAAGCATTATAACTACCTTTTATTAGTATGATAGATAATTTTAGATTGAATTTTTCTGTCTGTTTTTATAACAAAAAATGTGTTTATTATTTATTAAAAACAGATTGCAAATATTTAGAATAATAAAAACAAAACATTTTTTTAGCGTTCGAATTCCTCAATGATTTATCGTGATACCATATTTAAATACTTTGAATAAAAAAATTTTATTATATTCAAAATTTTGTGTTCTGCTTTGAAAATATTAAGTTAGTCCTCTATCTAGATCCACCAAGTCCTCTTGGCTCATTGTTTTATCGTATAAGAAACTCAGAATTTTAAAAATTACCTTAAACCTTTGTCAAAGTTTAAAATGTTTTGTAAATGTATGATGGACATGACCAACGGTATCTCCTCATTCGGTTGCACATATGCACATCCTACAAATGAATCAAATTAGCGGTGCCACGCGTTTTTGTATGCTAATATGTATCGGTACTAATAAAGATACTTTATTATAATTATTTAGTTTCTTTAAAGTACTGAACATTGCAGTAACCAATCACACCAATGTAATAGGCTTCCGTCTAATATCCCCTAAGAAGGATGACGGCTTCTATGTGCAGCAAGAATTGTCCTAGTTAAGTTGAGGTCAGGATATAGTCATATGCCATGATGTCGTCCATATGTTATCATATCATATCATATCATATCTGTTAACTTGGGTACAATTGAAGTTATAGATATCTCTGACTTGATCCATCTTGATTGAATTGAAATTCAACTCACCGCTCATCCATTCATGCTTCTTAACAACCCCCTTTCCTCTTACACTACCTTCAACTACCAACCTCTTCATCCATGTATACGTATTTGTAATTCATTTCATGATACCTGCTCGATAGATATCCGCAGGTTTAGTCAACAACAAGACCAACAACAACTTTATGCTTTAATAATAAAGTTTTATGATTCTTTAATTAGCTATTAGCTATTAGCTATTGAAATTAATCGTTGAACATTCAAATAAATATTTAATAATTAACTTTATTCCTTTTATTACAGAAACTGTTAAAACAAGCCCATCTATTTAACTACCTTATGTTGTATAAATCCAAATGGATTCGGCAGCAGCTACAATCGCAAATGTTCAAGACAGATTCGCACACAACAATCAAATTTCAATTACCAACAGCTTTAAAAGTGTTGGAGCTTTAAGCACCAATAATATACTAGGTGTACCCGGATCAGCTTCAGTTCCTATTCAATATGAGAGCTATCAAGCTGCAGAAGAAGTTCAACATCATCAATCGTATAACCAAAATTATACGTATTCATCAGCAGGACAATCCCAAAGATTACAACAGCATCAGTATAATGTGTGTGATCCATATATTGAAAATAATTATCAATTTGCTGGTGCGGAACTTACTAAACCAAAGTTTTCACATTTACACGGAGCGGGGCCGGTTGATAAATTAGCAACTCATACCAAAATGACTTTAGATATGCAACAGTACAATACACCAGCTGATATTAATTCACCTATTAATAATAATGCAATCGATAGTAATAATAATAATAATAATAATAGTAGTAATATATATAATTATTATAATTTCAATAATAAACCTCAAGCCCCTACAACATTTTGTGCGCAAACTTTACCCACTCAAACCGCACCAATTGGTTATATTGATCCATACAATTATAAATTACCAACAAAATTGCCAAAAGATTGTAATGAATATGGCAGCTACAATAATCATTTACAAAATGTTGCTAACCTTTCCTATCAACATCAAAAATACTATGCCGCTGCAAAGTCACGTTTTCAAGATGTTTCTTACGCTTCTGCTGCACTTAAACCATTCACAACAATACCACCTCGACCCCCAAATTCCTTTTATAGTGCAAACAATTGTAATTCATATTTTAATAAATATGATAAGTATATGTATTCTCCAACGTCAACAATTCAAAAAGCGCCATTACCAGGAACTTCCTTCAATGCAATACCATATTCTTCAACAACACCTCAGCAAACTCCTTATGTAACCGATAACTCAGAAGCATATCGGAATTCAAGCTCATTACATTGGAATCTAGAACTTTCAGCCAACAGTTGCCGTTCACTACCAACAACGGGACAAATTCCAGGAGTATCAATGGGATCTTCAAATATTGCTTATTTGCCTCAAGCAAGTCAATCTCGCGAACCACTTTTTACGGCCGACAAATATGGAAAATATGATAAATACAGTTCATATTATCATCAACAATATATGCCCACAACAACAACTCGAAATGTCTGGCCTGCTACACATTCCTATATACCACCAATCGCAGACCGTTTTCAACAGCAACATCAAATATTGTCTCATCCCAATACGGCAAGGCATTATACAACTCACGCAGAAACGACTACACCGGCTATAGCAGAGGCGCATCAGAACTGTTACTTGCAGCCAACTTTCTCGCAAGAAAATTCTTTTTATCCATCTGCACGACATAACGGTCCGTCTATCCAAGCACAGCAGCAAACAACCCAACAGAATCATTTCGAAAGTAATGATAAAAACTGCAACAACAACAACAACAACAATAACAATACTAATAATAATAATAAATATAACAGTGCTCACGATTACACTTTGAATAATAAATTGAAGAACTCGAATGATATGTATGGAAATGTTTCAATAGATGCACAGGTACATACAAACTATAACTACCCAACTTCAAACCCAACTTATTGCTCTAATAACCCGCAAGCATTGCACACTAATACAAATGTTTCCTTGCCGTTAGAACATCCAACTGGATATTGTAATGATCTCAGCAATTTACAAACGAAGTTTAACACTTATTCCAATCAAATGGATCAAGTCGATACAGCCCAATATACACAACAAAATCAATATAAAAAAATGAATTTAGAAAACCAACAGCAACAACAACAACAACAACAACATACATCCGCGCTATGTTATAATGTAAAAGGTAAAGAATTGGCTCAACAAAGAACATGCAGTGAATATTCCGATAAATTACAATACGATTATCAAAAATCTCCATCAACCAGCAGTACCAATTCCAGCATGCAGCAGTTGTCAGCAGTGTCAAATTTGGAACAACATGCTTCCAATTATGATTTGTCGTCTGCAACTGCTGTGGCCAATCTAAGTCAATCAAGTCCGTATAATCTAAACGCAGATATTGAGAAATCCTTAAACTCCACAAAAAAGCTAAGTTTACGCGATTTCCTTTCAACTTGGAATGATGATGAGGAGGATTGCGCCGTTAATAATGAGCTATCATCATTTGTTGATAATCAGTGTTTGAACCCGGAGACAGAATCGTTTCTTTATCATAAAAACATGCAAAATGTAGATAACATTAATCGCTATTATAATAATGAAGTACAACCGGTAAAACAAATTCAACCTCAAGACATGCAAGTACCATCGCCAAATCGGACTCCAAGCATTTGTGCCACAGAACAGAAAATACAAATACAGTCGCATGCGAAGCAAATTATTGAAAACCAATTCAAGAACACACTGAACACACGTTCTAAAATTCATGTTGGCATAACAGTAGATGGTGCAGTTGAAGTAGAGACTAGTCAATATATAAACTTGCCCGATATAATCATTGATATTGAGAAGCCTAGCAGTGCAGTGACTCCAGTGTCCACGTCAGACATACAACCAATAGAATTGTCTTCAACAATAGAGAGTAAAAATATGGAAATACCAACAGTAATGCCAACCGGAATACCAACTGGAATGCCAACAGCAATGCCAGTAGCAATGCCAACAGGAATACCAACAGGAATGCCAACAGCAATGCCAGTAGCAATGCCAACAGCAATGCCAACAGGAATGCCAACAGGAATGCCAACACAGATTGAAGAGAGCTTACCCTTTGAAAATTTTGATTTTGAGAAAGAACTTGATGAATTACAAATAAAGAGAACTAAAACGAAGAATCCACTGAAGGATGATACTGAAATAAATGGTGGTAATGAAAATCTATTAAACCAAAAATCAATCTTTATGCCAAATTCTGAATTTGCTGAACTAGATATTAAACAGGATTTGGATAGTTATAATTTAAATCCAAACCAACCTACGGAAGAACCAAATAATAACAGTAATAATAAGTTTGAAAATGCTTTGTATAGCAATGAAATTCCAAATGATGACATCAAATTTCCACTCGAGAATAGTTCTTCGGCACTATATACAATGGGACAGGAAAATTTGTTTAGCAGCACTGAACATGCTTTAAGTAATATTGAAATGGATAACATAAGCCAATCGAATGAATCGACCTTTGAAAAGGAATACGAAACCTTTATAAATAAAATAGAAAGCGTTGGAGGAAATATTTCCACGATGGATAATAACAATAAAAATGTAAATTTCGTTAATTATGAAAATGGCGGCTCAAATGTTTTTAATAAAAGTGAAAACAGTTTAAAAAATTGTTTAGATACGAGCATATTAAATACAAATAATAATGCCGCTCCAAGTGTTGAGAACATAGAAAACAACACTGTAGGTATAGCAGAGGGAAGAGACTTTATAGGTCTACAATACAAAAATGAAGAATTCTCAAACATTTTAGAACCGAATAGCTTCACAAATACTATCCAACAAAGCCAAGCTGATAGTGAATTTACTGATCTAAATGTGAAAGAATATTCAAAATTCTATAAACGGCAACGGAAATTAATTGAGAGCATAGAAGATAAAAGCAACGCTACGACAACATCTTCTTCTCCGGCACCAGCTACAGACACGGATAGCAAATTTTCAGAACTCTCTTCAACAATTATGGAAGACAAGAAAGAAACGAATGAATCTCAAAATATATTGAAGGATGAAAATTATAAACCATTCACATTCGAATCCAATACATTAAATACATTAGACGATATATCATTAGAGTGCATGGAAAATGTACGCAAAGTGAAGAAATCTTTTCCCATGTTTAAAAGGAAATATAATACATTAACAGATATGAAAACAAAATACGAAAAATGCAAATCACCGTTTTACAAAACATTGAAGAACCGTCATCGTTATCAGTGGAATAAAAAGAAAATAAACAGATCATTGCTTGTACGACAACACATTAATATGCTGAAAGAGAGACATTTGCCCTTAATAAAGCGAAATTCTGCAAAGAAGTATTTTCCCGCCGCAAATGTCGGATTACGATTCAATCCAAAAACGCTCAAGTGTCTCAGCATAACAATTTTAAATACCCCAGCCTTTCGCCAAAGCATATTTAAGAATCTTTCAGGAGTTAAATATGTAGATCCTTTCAAGCAAGAGACATGTGAGCCTGAGACTGTTGAAGATGCCGTAGTAAAACAACCTGCAATCGATGAAATAAAGAATACACGTGAACAAGACACTGAAGTGTTGTTAGAAAAAGATACTAAATTGAATACTAAAGATAATGAGCTTATAGGTATAATACCAGAGAAAGATAGAACTGATTTCGTAGATTTAAATAACGAATTTGATAAATTTGATAAATTTGAAAAGAAGTGCTTGGATGAAGCAATGCCGCATAAAGATGAAAAAGTTGAATTTGCAAATAGAGAAAACGGTTGTGTTAATCTGCTTTTCTCAAATGTAAAAGTTAATGGGGATTTAAATAGTTTAGATGTTAATGCTATGGATACGAATGAAGTTGTCGATTTGACTGCAACAAATAAAAATAAAGAAAAAGAAAAAGACTTGTCAGCATTGCTTAATGATAGTGTTAAAAATCCAAACACACTGATGACTTGTTCTTTGAACAGGCACGATGATAATGACAAAGAATCTCTTATCAATACAGATATAAATTCTAATGATAATTATTGTACTGACAAGGGAGAGGTTAATGTCAAAGTTATAACAAATTCTCAACCGCGTTCAAATGATGGTTTAAAATTTGCGGCTTTTAAAAATAAATTTCAACATGACTTTCCCTTTCAAAAATGGGAAGGACTTTTGAAGAAAATTAAATATGTAATAAAAATAAAGAAGAAATATGTGAGGTTTTATTCTAATGATTGGAAAATTCGTAGAAAAATCATAAAGAATAGAATATTTAACTTTGTATTGAAGCAAAAGTGTGGTAATAAAAGAAAAGTTAATAAGAAGAATATACAAAAGGATCTTCGTAAAAATGCAACCAAACCCGAAAGTACCAATATGGACAATATGAAAGTATGTAGTGAACAACACATATTCACAATGAATACTTCCTCTGATATCATACAGAATAGCGAATTTAAAAGGAAGACAAGGAAGTGTGGGATATCTAAAATTATAATAAAGCAAGCAAAACAAGCTGTACAAAGAAAATTGTATATTAAGTTAAGAAAGAAAATTTGTTTAAAATATTTGCAAAAACAATTGGATATTAAAAAACATCATATGAAACATCAATTGCTATTGGAAGTTAAAAAAAAACTTCGTTCGAAAATAGGAAGAAATAAAAAGCAAATTCGTCGAAGTAAATCAACTTCCATAATACAGGGTACAACACCTGCAGCAACAACAACAAAAACCATTTCAAAAATTCCTTTACAATCCCCTACACAAAAACTACTTTTCGAAAAGAAAGAAGAAGATGATGGAATTATGTGTAAAAATATTTTACCAAAGTTAAGTGACCTTTGTAATATTGCCTTGAATAGTTCCTTACAGGTTGGCACAACAGCAGAATTCCAAAAAAAAAATGAAGTTCCTGAAAACTCCAATCAAAAACCAAATAAAAAAGACGATGGTACTTCAATAACGAACTCGTGTTACTTAACCGTTGAGGAGGCTTTAGCAGAAATGTATAGTCAAGTCGATGAGGAAACTCCAGAGACAAAATATATATCCAAAATCAATTCCAACGAGAATATAAATGATAATCTAAAATTAAATGCAAATACAAATGTAAATAAATGTAACAATGCAAATGATAATGTGCAGGCAGCTCAAGATGTACTACTAATTAACTTAGAAGAGATACTAAATAGTAATAATGATGTTTACGTTTTACAATGTGATATGAATAAGAACGTTTTAAGCGTAATCGAGAATGCACAGAATAATGAGGCAACTAATCCTAATGATACAGCAGCTAATGAAACAGAAAATGTTGATAGGCAAAATGTATTGCAATTAATTGAAATATTAAGCGGTGATGACTTAAATATTAATTTAAATAACGATAAAGATATTAACGAATATAAAAAAAACGATAGTAACAGTAGTAACAACAGTAATAGTAATAAAATAAAAAAAGATATTGTTAATAATAATTCAAGACAATTAACAACAACAGGTAAAAATGGAACAGTAACTTCAACATCATCAACATCAACATTTACATCATCTTCAACATCATCATCAACATTATCATTATTATCATCAACTTCATCATCATCAATAACAGCATCAGATACAGTTGCAGCTACAATATCATCCTCATCAATGACAACATCAAGATTGTCATCATCAACATCCACATCCACATCCACACCCACATCCACATCAGCATCAACAAAATCAATATCTACTAATGCAATGGCACCACTTGAAGAATTTAATTATGACTGTCTGACATTACCGTTTCTTTTACATCATGAAGAGATTGTACCTGATAATTATAAAAAGTTTAAATATGAAAAGTTTTTTAAATACTTGCATGAAAAATATGTACAAAGAAATATACCAAAACATTATTATGCTAAATGTATTGTAAAAAAGTATAGACGGCAGTTCAGTAAGAAATATCGCTAAGTTTCAAGTACAAGAAGATACTATCCGTACAAGTTTTATGTAAAGATATAGATAGATATGAATGTGCTGCTAATGTACTTATATGTACATCATAGAAGCACAGGCTTTCTTTCTCTATATATATATATTTTTTTTTTGTTTTGTTCGATTTGTTCTTCTGTATGAATTTCTATGTTGAAATTATGTGTTCAATTTATAATATGTAATATAAAAAACTGAAAAAGACATGGGAAACGTACTTCAAAGACTTATATTAACAAATTTGTTCTAAACCCACTATACTGTTTGAATTTGACGGCATTACACTCATTTTGGTAATGTTAAAACTCTATCATAGTTTAATAATTAAATAATTTAAATTTAATAATTTTTTCAATTATAATTATAATTCCAAAATCGAAAAAATTTTTATAGTACTTAATATTACCGGGATCAAAATTATTAACCCATCTGCATTATGTTGCTTCAACAGAAATTAATACCAAAAAAGAAGAAAAAAAAAAGTATTTAAATATGTATTATGTCCTTTGCTTAGAATTGCCGATATTTGTTGTTTACATATAAATTCAAAATAAGTATTTTTAACTTTGCATTTAAGACCCGTCGAAACTAGCACTCCATGCTAACTGATGGTCAAACTGATGATCAAACTGATGATCAAACTGATGATCAAACTGATGATCTAACTGATTAAAATCAGTTTGTGTTTGTGCTATGTTTCATATTTAAATTGGGTACCAGAAATATACATTTCATTATTTACACTCTTATAAAAACAAAAATATACTACATAAAACCTAGAAAAGTTTATCCGTACAACCTGCTTAACAACAGTCTATAAAAAACAAGAATTATTTAATTGTCCATAATTGGTTCGAAGCGTCAATGGTCAAGCAAGCATCAAAAACTAAGAACTCGTTAGTCCTCCTCCTAACTGCAGTCTCAATAGATAATACAAAATGTAACAGTTTTGATATTTGTGCAACTAAGTGAGTATCTTGCAATATTAAACATTTAACAATATTAAATATTTATTAATTTTGCAATATTTCTTTATTTTAGTTTGCGCTTAACTTATATATAGCCTTTTTCTTTCAATATTTTGCTGCCAATAAAGCCATATCTTTCCATAGTGCTTTTTTGTCTTCGAACCTATATACAAAAATATATACAAAGGACCGTTAACTTAACTGCTATACTCAGTTAACGCTTTATGAAAAAAATCTTCAAGGAGGAAATAGAAGAAAATCTGCATTTTTAATAACAGTACCGAATATCATTGATGATTGATCAACTTTTCATATATAACTACTACTTTTCATATAATTACTATTAACTGAACATCAACAGAGAAGTCTGTAGAAAATTGTTATTGTTGCTGTTGTAATCCGCAAGGAACTGCTTGTGTGTAGTCCCTTGTGTGTGTGGCGAACTTCGGCACTTTGTCGTCGAATTTGACGTGTAACTTCGGGACTTAGATCCGATCGCAGACATTTGTGCATATATCTTAGTGTTCCGAACTAATGCTCAATTTGCTATATAACATTTGATCTCTCTCTCTCTCTCTGATGTATGTTTACTCCTGTGAAGGGATGTATTTATGTAATTCCTTTTGGGAGCGCTAAATGTCACTTTTTCGTTACAACTCGATGAGTGGCTTCGATAGGTTCCAAGAACGGCCGGAGGCACTCGTCAACTACAACAGCCGTCAATCACAACAAAGTGCCGTTCACTATCACCCAAAGGGATTTTACAAGCAGATTCCAGCGGTTAACAATAACAATAATGGGGCTTCGGGTCGTACAGCCCGGTTCTTCTTGAAACTGTTTACACTTGTCAGTGGAGGTACTGTTTTCTTTTTGTTTTTGTTTTTTTTACGAATCTTGCTGTTACTAATACTGTTTTGCTTAATGCTTATTTTTAATTTTTCTATAAATTTTATTATTATTTTTATGTATTTTATAATAATCAATTATCAAAGTCTGCATATATTTACTGGTATAAGCACTATTCTCTTCTTGCAGTTTTATTATTTATATTATTCAACTTTGCGCATTGCAAAAAAAAAAAAAAAATCAAAAAACAGCAAAACAACAAAATAAATAAAATAATTATTAATATCTCTTTATGTCGTATATTTGTAAGAACTAAGATTGAAGAAGGAAAACCTTTTAAGCCTGATTATATAGTTCCATAAATTGGATATCTCATATTTGATTTCTATATTTATAAAAAAGAAAAACAAAAAAAAATTATTAAAAATAAAAATAAATGTTTTATTATATTGTCGTATGTATAAAAGGGGTAGATATTATAGTGTGTTGTTTTATATTTATATTTACATTTATATATTGTTAAAGTAAGCTAAGGCATCCAAAATTGTTATTTATACATACATACATACATACATATATGTAATAAGTAAATATTAATTTAATTCCTTAGATTTTAAGTCTATAAATTTTTCTGTGTTGAATTCATAATTGCACTAAGTGTTTGACTGTCAAGTGATTTTAAAATTCGTTGTTAATTTAATTTACACAATTTAAATAAATTACTAAATACTAAATTATATAAAGAAATATATAGATAAAAATTGTAAAAATGATAAATGATAAATGATAAATTATAAATGATTATATATATTAATTTAAGACCAATTTGAAAAATTGTAAGCAGGAAAAGTATACATTTAAATAACACATTTATAGAGACATTTATTTATTTGACGTATATATATAAAAAAAAAATGTATGATACTTAGTTGAAAATATTTAAATATTTTTATATGTAAGATCCTTTTTAACAAATTGCAAGTGATTTAATTTTGTATCAGAAGCATTGCAACAAATTTTGACAAATTTAAAAATCATTAAAAATCAATTAAAAATTGTATCTTTATTTATAATATGAATATCTCTAAAAACAGTCCAGAAAAAAGAATTAATCTCAGATAATCGAACTAATTTGTTCTGAGTGATCTCATAATAAATAAAATACAGTAAAAATTGCTCATATACTCATACTCATAATGAATATATAATTTAAAATATTTTATAATGTTAACAATTAAATAATGACGTCAGAGTCAATTTAAAAAATTGGCTTCTTTCTTATCAATTGATCGATTAATCGATTAATCGATTAATCGTTGAATTGGCATTACTATTATTTTCAATAACAGTTGAGTATCTGAGCAATTAATGGATATAATTTAATTTTAATTGGTTTATATATTCATAAGCTGCGAACGTCAAAAAAGTGTATTATGTCTAATTTCATATTTTTAAAAAAAAACTCTAGTTTATTGTTTAAAACAAATAATATATGTAACATATGTTTTTGTTGTAAATCTTTAAGTTGTTAATTTATATTAAATTATTTATATGAATAGCTCAAGCCAAAAATATTGTTATTAAAAGGTTTTGGAACTTTCAGTTTCATTTGCTATAATTGGATTAGTTAAACATAAATTAAATCGTGGGTATCGCACGATGCACTTTGTTAAATGTCATATAAGTTAAAATTTTACTTATATTGTTTTAGGTTTTCTTAATATTTTAAACAAAAAAACAAAAAAAAAAATTAATAATAATAAAAGAAAAATAATTATATGTTATTTGAAGCATTCCAAAGCAATTCATTAATTAGTTTGTTAATAGAAGAATTTAAATGTTTTATAATTTTTTCCTTGTTTTTTCTTTATTTATTTTTTTTTTTATTTAATAATGGAAGATGTATTTACAAAACAATTTTATATTATTTATACGCTTATATTAGTACAAAACATTTAATATCACAAAATAAAATACATATGTAGAATATTCTGTGTGCAATATATGTGATTTTCTCATTTGTGGTAAATTATACCAAATTAAAAAATAAAAAACAGCACTTTGTAAATTGACGTTATTTATATAAAAATATATATGTATACGTTGAATTGAACTAAATCAATAAACTTGCTTATATTTGTATAAATGTACCTAAAACAAGTGTTTTTTTTTATATATATATATATTCCGAATGGTTCAAATCATAAAAGTTAATTATAACAAAATATAAAGATGTTTTTCCGAACAGTAGTGAACGACAACAACAAAAATTCATTTTATATTATTTTAATTAATTAAATTTTTGACTGATCATACAGCTGTTTCGAGTGTCGTAAATAACTTTTTGAGAGTGCAAGTATCAGGAATCTAACTCGTGCCCTGCCAAATTTGAAGCTTAGAGTCAGCGCACCTCGTTTGCAGGATTTAAATGGTGGTGGAGAATTGGAGAGCGGAATTGGTTTTGAGTCAGTACCTCCAACTTTTTAGTAAAATTGCACCGAAACAATTCTGAACTTTATGTGCCACACAAGTTGAAACTTTCACTCATTTACAATATGTGATGTTAGGTATAGGTGTAGCCAAAGGAGTATATAGAGTGGTGGCTACTCTAAAAGTGTGTCCAAAGTGTGTGTTTAAATGGTTCTGCACCGAACCGGTTTTAAACCGGAACCTCCTACATTTTAGTTTGATTGAATATTGGTATTTAATATCTGCGCAGTTTGTATTGTCAGTTGAAACGATGATTCAATTACATACATGTTCTATTCTGCATACGATAAGATTGGTTCCATAGAAATTCTTAATGTACCGATAATGGAAGGCATAGGCGTAGAGAAAGAAGTAAATAGGGTGCCAGCTTTTCTAAAAGTGTATCCAATGTGTGTGTTTAAAACGGAATGTTCAATTTCTTAGTGTAATTGAACCGAACACTTCAAATGCACTTTACAATCCTGGTAATTAACATTTACAGAATTCTTACTACCAGCTTAAACGATCAATCATTTATATATACACTCTGTTTCAGATCCGATAAGGTTGGGTTCTTAAAATTTGCCTAGCGTACCGAAGATGGAAGATATGGGCGCAACCAAAGGGATACATGGAGTGCTGACTCTCCTTAAAGTGTGCCTGAAATGTGTGTTTTCAACCTATTACGTTGCGTACTGTCACCATTTGTTGTTATCAATTAATAAGAAGATAATAAGCAAAAAAAGATTTAACTTTAAATATTTAATAAATATTTAACCTCTGCTTAATTCAATTAATCTTTTCAGTTCTACTCTAAAAAATATTCACAACATCTCTTGCTTGTTTAATTTTGACAAGCAATTCGATTTTCTATCTGTGGAGAAAAGGAAGAAGTGTCTCATTAGGAAAGGTTCTGCCGGTAGTGGTGTAGACAGTGGAGATTTGTCGGAAGGATTAAATATAGCTATTTATTTTAGGCTTCCTGATTATTGCAGCATCTTTCAGCCAGAGGTATTCGGTATTAAGAAATCAATAGTTTGTCT